TTTATCCTTATCTTTCAATCATGATTGGACTCACTGTTATAAATTACACAGGTATTCCTTCTCCCATGAACAACTGATATAAGAGGATGAAATGATGCTAAATAAATTACTCTTGAGTCAATAGAACAGAGCAGAAACAGATGACACTTAAGGAAGAACAGGTAAAACTTGACTAGACACAGGGATCTTTCTGGATGTTCTAAAGTTGTAATTGGTTCTTAAGGCTATTATCCTTTTAAAAGTAAATAAACCAAGCAACAACAACAACAAAACCCCATGCAAACAAATAAGATGCTACATGCCTATAATTGAAACATTCAGGAGGCTGTGGCAGAAGGATGCAGAATTTAAGGCCAGGATGGGCTACATAGCAAGACATTGTTGCAAAAGAAAGCAAGGAAGATTAGAAAAAAAAATGGACAAAGGATTTGAACACATATTTCTCCAAAGATACAAAAATGGCCAACAAGCACGTGAAAAGATGGTTAATAGTTACTAGGGGATCCACATCAGAACCTCGAGGTTCTACATGCTACTAAATACTACTAGTACAATAGCATTATAGGAAAACAAACAAAATACAAAATAAGCAGTATGGCAAGGATGCAAAGAAGCAAGAACCCAGGCACAATGATGATGTTAATGTAAACCAGTAGGGAACTATTAAAACAATACAGTTTCTCAAAATAGTAAAGACAGAATTACCATGATTTAGGGACTCCAACTCCAAAATGAATGGAAAGCCAGTACATGATTGGACATGCATAAAACATTGCTCATGGCAGCATTGTTAAAATGGCAGAAGTAGCCCACGTGGCTGGTGATAGGTGAATTAATATACAAAACGTGGTATATACATATGTGGATATTCGTCAGCTTTAAAAGTGAAATTTGATTTTAGGCCTGACTACTTTGTTTTGGATAATCAGTTAGGGAGTGCATCTCTGGGGGAGGCTAATTCTCCCTCAGTGGTCACTAGCTGCCTGTAGTAAACCACACTAGACAGACTGAGCAGTTGTATTTATATGTACGAGTAAGTACCAATAACGACCAAAGAAAAGCAGGCTACCAATTTGAAAGGGAGTGAAGGGGGGATAGGAAGGGTTGGGGGAGAAGTGGTATATTTTATTTTTACTAAAATATTAATAAAAACAAAAAACAACAAAAAAGAAATTTGACACTTATTACAATATAGATGATCCCTGAAGACATTACCTTCAGTAAAATAAGACAGCTACAAAAGGATAAACTGTGAAATTTTTATTCATATGATAGTAGTCAAATTCAGGGACATGATAATCAAATGTTGAGTTTTGTGGGCTAGAGGCAGAAGGGGGTGGGTAATTATTGTCTAATTAGAACACAGTTTTAATCTCACAAGATGAAGATAATCTAGAGATAGAGCGTGGTAATGGTTTCACAATGGTATGGATGTATTCTCATGTAAGGGTAATCTCATAACGGCAGGTTATTGCTCATTTTCAGCTTCTCGAATTTCTACCTACTCCCATGGCTTGACTATTACATCCCATCTTTAGTTGTACTAGGTTTAGATTCGCTTAGCTGCTAGCCTGACCGGACTGAGAAGTGCCTGGGCAATCAGTAATGCACACCCCTGGGCTACAATGAAGGCATTCTTAGAACTCACCGTGAACGTGGGAGGCACCACTTCTTAGAGTGGGGCCCAAATCGGATGAAAAGGACAAAGGAAAGCTGCGTACACAGTGTTTTCTCTTTGATCCCTGGTCACCATGATGGGAGTTACTACCTTAGTGCCATGATGGACTGATACGGTTAAAACTGTGAGCCACAATGGATGTTTCCGTCCTGAAGCTGTTTTGTTCTGCTAACCACAGTTGCTACTAGAATTAATGCTGTTGCGATTTCATATGGACAAATATACTATGTGTGCAAAGTTTTCAGCAGGTAAAGATTGTTTAACATTCTTTATGACTGGTCCATGGTTTTATTTAGTTCAATACATGATAGTATCCTTAAATAGAATTCCCTGCTTCATCATAACAAAATGAGTGAAAAATTTTACTATATAATGTTACTAACATTGTAGTGTGATTTGTAATTGGTCTTAATAATAAAAACCTGGAGTCAGGTATTGAGGTGAAAGCTGAAACATCAGAGAAGCAGAGTAGCCAGCCACTAGAGTTCTTACCTCCTTGAATGCTCAGACTGAAGGGTTATCCTGTCTCTACAAGTCCTCAGACTGAATTGCTCAGACTGAATGACTTGAAATCCTGTCTTCTCCTGCCTAATATTCCCCTCTCTGCCCAGCCATATCCCTTCCTGCCTTCACCTCCCTAGTGCTGGGACTAAAGGTGTGTGACTCCTAAACATTGGGATTAAAGTGTGAGCCACCGCAGCCTGGCTCTGTTTCCCTTTGAGACTGGATCAATCTAGTGGAGCACAGGGTGTCTTGAACTCACAGAGATCTGTCTGTCTCTGCCTCTGGCCCTCCCCAAGTGTTGGGATTAAAGGTATGCGCCACCACTGCCTGGCCTCAATGGCTAACTAGTGGCTCACTCTACACTCTGCTCTTCAGGTAAGCTTTATTTGTTAGATCACAAAATATCTCCGCATAACATCAGTTATAATACTAAACAAATGGTCCTAAGGGGAAAAACTATCAAAGATTCTTAGCCAGAAAGGAATGACAACATGGGAGCTCACAAAACTGTATGATGAAATTCTTTTTTATGGAACTTTTAAAATGCTAAATATGGTGTTGAATGGTAGGGTTGAGTGCAGTAGTGGGGGGGGTGAAGAGTAAATTTAGGAAACCAGCTAAGACTGGGGGGATCTCTTATGCTATGCCAAACACTTCCCCAAGGTTGGGCAAATCACATAAACACAATGAGCTTCATAAACTTGGTAATACTGGCCTGTAAAGTGGTCAGAATTTCTGAGTGGAAGATAAAAATATCATTAGTATTTCAGTGCTTCCATGACTCCTCAGTATAGCGGCCATGACAATGCTGCCGGCCACCAGCTTCACCTAAGTGTTTATAGGACTTGTGCGTGGGCTCCTGAGATGCCTAGAAGTCCTTCGATAAAAGGCAGTGGGCAAGTGCATAAGCCATGCGGCACATTAAATGCAACATGAGGTATATAAATGATTTAATTTCTATGTGAGAATGAGAAATGAAGGGAGAAGGCTCTTCTATATCTGGTTTGCTCTTTCCTTTTCATTCAATTCTATGTTTGTGTACAAAACTTCCCACAATCACACACAAAATTTCCATCATAGCATGGGTGAGTGGGAATTCCACCTACCACATATGGGCACAATGGGAAAGCATCTAAAGGGATCGTTCTCTATGATACTTTGTGACACGACCAGTCAAAAACTTTGGTCAATTAATAGGTAATGTATTTTGATATCAAAACCTTTCTTATCAAAAATTTAATAATGGGCAAAAGACATTTTTTTACAGCAGTTAATGCACATATCTGGGAATACTAACCATAGAACATAGACTGAAGAGATGCTCTAAGGTTTAGTAGAAAGAGAAATCAAGTTAAGAACATTTCACTCCTAAATGATATTCTCAATATAAAACACAGGCATTTGTGCACCTGCCTGCTCCTTCGCTAGTCCTCAGGCTACCCCCATGTGGCAACCATTAAAATGAATTTTATGCTATTCCCTGCTTTTTTTTTCTTTATTAAAAAATTTCCACCTCCTCCCATTTCCCTCCCACTCCCCTCCCCTTCCCCTCCAGTCCTAAGAGCAGTCAGGGTTCCCTGCCCCATGGGAAGTCCAAGGTCCTCCCCCCTCCATCCAGGTCTAGCAAGGTGAGCATCCAAACAGACTAGGCTCCCACAAAGCAAGTACACCCAGTAGAATCAAAACCCAGTGCCATTGTCTTTGGCTTCTCAGTCAGCCCTCATTTTCAGCCACATTCAGAGAGTCCGGTTTGATCACATGCTCCTTCAGTCCCAGCCCAGCTGTATGCCTTGCTTTTTCCCATTATAATCTTAACACACACGATTGTTTGTGCTTGTTCTTAAACTCTAAAGCCTGTGTGTTGTCCTCCACAAAGTGGTTCCTTCTTTCACTACATTTTAAAGATCCCATCCATTCTACTGTCATTGGTTATTTGTTCTTTTCCATTTGTTTTAGAGTCATTCATGCCATTTTCCCGATTATTCTTTTAGGAAAGAAAAAAAAAGTTTTTTGCTTTGTTTCATACTCAGTATGTTAACCCTGTCTAAGTTGTTTCCAGTTAGACGGTACTCAAATTTAGCACACAGCTTTTACAATGTTGGGAGGTTTTGAGAATTAAAGTGGGGTTGCAAGAGTAAAGGTGGGTTGCGAGTACCATGCATCATGACACTGTCAACAGACAAGTTCATAGAAACAGAAAAGACAACGTATGGGACCACATAGTATACTCCCTTTGCTCACAGAGAGCCCCCCAGAACAGCAACATCCAGGGAAGAGATACCTACGGCATTTCGGGACTTTAGGAAGTGCCACCGTTGCTGGATAGAACTGAGAGCCCTCAAACGCGGAAGCATAAAAATCCAGTGCAGTAGACACTGGATGCGGTGTCACACAAACCGCGCTCCGCTGGAAACAACCTCCGCACGATAAAGGGCCCGAGTGTGTGTGAAGAAAGGGGTGTGCGCGGGGGGGGGGCATGGCCCCGCCCCATCTAGCCCCTGCCGACCCTCTCTCACTATTCTGGACAAAGCAGCCTCGCGACGGACCAGCGACAGGGCTGTGACTACACTCTCCGAGTCAGTGGTCCACAGATCTCGGGTCGGACTGTTTGGGAGGTGCTCTGCCTCCTACTTCCGGTGGCGGAGAGGAGCGGTTGCTATGGTAATCTAAAAAAGGCGGAGGTCCGTCCGGCTGCGCTGAGAGATTCGCAGAACTACTGAAGAAAATTGGCTGCTCTTCTTGGTTTGTGAGCTGAAATTAGGTAGCCACCGGCACCCCCTCTCGCTCTCTCGCTCGCTCTGCCCCTCACTGTGTGACTGCCTCTCCCACCAGCTACGTTTACTTTTGTGTCCTAACGGCCTGTGCCTGCCCCTAAAACACAGGGATCCAGCAGCATTGTGGCCTGCGGAATACAAAACGGAGAGAGCTTGTCTCCCATTAGCTGTGGCTGTTACATGGTGCAGCCACGGTGACTGGGTGGCTCTCTGTTTTCACTCGGCCCTTTAGTCGCCTTAGGCGCTTGTTAACAGTTTATTTTTCCTGCTTATTGTGTGTCTGGTTATTTATGGAGCCGTTTGCTACAATGTAGTCTCCAGGCCCCTGTCTCAGTCTTGGTCTAGAGTTTTAAATAAAAGGGGGTTTCCGAGCCCTAGGGGTGCAATTATACATATATTTAAGCTTCAGTTTAGACTCTCTTCACAGGAAGGGGAAGAATAGAATTCTGGAACATTTCTGCCCTGGGAGTTCCATGTGAGAATAACCCTATTTAGAAAGAGCATTTGAAGAAGATCCTTAAAAATATGTTTTTAAATTGCTGGCTGTAAAGTGAGTGCTCGTTCTTCCTTATTGGAACAGTTTTCTTTCACATTTGTGAGATGGCGTGCACGCATATGTGTTTAAAACTGATGTTTAATTATGGCGGTACCAATTTGCAGTAACCAGACTGTGACACCGCATCCCTATGGGGTCCTTCTAAATCTGGTGTAATATGAAAGTGTCAGGCAGGCGGTCTGTGTATTATAAATAGGGTACTTCATCCATGATAAGCGATTATTATCTTTCTTTCCCAAGTGTAAAAGACCTACATAATTCAAGAAGGTGCCAGTGATTTAGGCCTCCTGAGTAAGAATCCAATGAGTCCTGAAGGGGACTCTACCTGTGTCATCTTATTGTTCAACGTGAACTATTCAATTTATTAGATTGAAATGTATTTTTAGAAGTCAACGCAGGCTAAAGTAATGTTGGAAGCCATTAGACCACCAGCACAATTTAGCACCTCATAGTAGCCTTTGTTCAATAAACCTTCATCCACATTAACGGAAGAAACCACTGAATTTTCACAGCTTACTGCTAACTGGGTGACATCTCTGTCCCTCAATCTCATCATCTGTAAAATGGACAAAAAGTACCTGGTCAGTGTAGTAAAGGATGAAATAAGATGCACGATTGTGTATTAATGTCTTGTGAGCAGAGGTTCTGTATAGACCCCAAATAGTACTGCTAATGAAGGAACTCAGTAAAGCCCAATGGTAATAAATGAGACTTCAGCTAGTCAGTGATTTGGCATGTGCTGCAGTTTAGAAATGTTAATGAAACGAGTTAGTTAATCCTGCTCTGGAGGGTGGGTGTCAACTGCAGTTAATTTACATAAAACAGCTTCCTGTTAGGGAATCTACTCCTTCTATAGTTTCTTCAGCATGACTGTGTCCTGTAGTATATTCTGTATGCCTCCCGTTTGTGAACTGATGGAATCTTAGCAACCTTTTGACGTCTCCCATGACCCCTTGTTTTGAGATGGTAGGTGTATACATTTTCTTTGTTCTGATTTCTTTTATATTATACTACAACTATGTTCTTTGGGATATTTTATTATTTGAGGAATTATATACGTGTGTGTGTGTATATATATATAATTCGAAATCAATTGCTAAAGATTTTATTTAATATGTACTGATGAGTTCATATAGATGTTATAACATTTGCCTTTTTTATTCTATGTGTAAAATTTTTAATAGCCCAATACTCCACCTCATGGTGGTACATTTGCGTTTTAGGTGATTTACCTAGACTAAAGTAAAATTTTTAATTGTTTTCTGATAGAATGGCCGGCAATCCTGGAAGTGATGCAGCTTTGGGTACTCAGAGATCAATGTTCTCCGGGAGTCCCCGAACAAAGAAATTTCCACTAACTGAGCAGGAGGCATTTTATATGAACTGTAGAGCCGCCTACTTAACTATCTTCAAAAGCAGCCTGGAAAACATTATTTCTAAGGATCAACTTTACCTAGGTAAATTTTTACCTGATTTGTTGAAAATTATTAGACTGAAAAGTCTGACTTAGAATGACATCATCGACTCACTCCAGTTTCACAGGGAAACAAGCAACAGGACTGTAAGAAACAATAACTGTTTCTATGGTTGCATAGTCTAGGGGCTTCCAGATTATACACATACAAACATGTATATATGCATATACATATACACATACATATGCATATATATATCCATGTATATGGAGGGGGAGATTGTATATTCAGAGCTTCTATCAGTTACTACTTGCTTAAGAGTTGTTACTGTTTTTCAGTTATCCTGGTGGTGCTTTAGATTTATAATAATAGAATTAAATCCCTTTTGCCATCTGACTCAGTAGTCTGAATTTTGACTTGCATTAAGAAAAAGATAAAAAGTTTGCAAGACGGGGGTCAAATGACTGTAAAAGAAAAATATAGATAAATAAAAATTTAGAAGAGAATTAGGGGTTGGGAGGTTTTGTTTCTCATTCTACCCATTATCATATTTTAAAATTCTTTTGGCTGAGAAGTCTTCCACGTCACTGAAGGTGATGCTTCTCAGGCTGTCGATAACCTGGAGGTCTTGATGCTGGTAGTCTTTAGTCCCTGGAGATGGGTAAATGACAGTAGCAGATAATGCCAATGGCTCATGCCAGTTTCATCAATGCTAATATTAAGAGCAGAGAAACTGGGTTTCTTTGCCATTTTTAGAAGTAATTTCTTTTTCTTTTTTAAAATTAATTAATTAAGAATTTCCACCTCCTCCCTGCCTCCCTTTTCCCTCCCCCTCCCTACTTTCTCCCTCCCTCTCTAGTCCTAAGAGCAGTCAGGGTTCCCTGCCCCGTGGAAAGTCCAAGGTCCGCCCCACTCCATCCAGGTCTATAAAGGTGAGCATCCAAACAAACCAGGCTCCCACAAAGTCAGTCCATACAGTAGAAACAAAACCCAGTACCTTTGTCCTTGCCTTCTGAGTCAGCCTTCATTGCCAGCCACATTCAGAGTGTCCAGTTTGATCACATGCTCCATCACTCCCATTCCAGCTAGTCTTGGTGAGCTCCCATTAGATCAGTCCCACCGTCTCAGTGGGTGGACGCACCCCTCGTGGTCCTGACTTTCTTGCTCATGTTCTCCCTCCTTCTGCTCCTCATTTGGACCTTGGGAGCTAAGTCCAGTACTCCAATGTGGGTCTCTGTCTCTATCTCCATCCATCGCCAGATGAAGGTTCTATGGTGATATGCAAGATATTCTTCAGTGTGGCTATGGGACAAGGCCAATTTAGGCACCCTCTCCTCTGCTGACCAAGGAACAATTTGGGGACCTCTCCTTGGACCTGGGAACCCCTCTAGAGCCAAGTCTCTTGCAAACCCTAAAATGGCTCCCTTAATTAAGATATTTACTTCCCTGCTCCCATATCCATCCTTCCTCCATCCCACCCATCCCATTCCCCCAAGCTTTCCCGAATCCTCCCCTTCTCCCTTCTCTCTACCCATCTCCCCTGTGCACCCAAGTTTTGCCTGGCAATCTTGTCTACTTCCAATATCTAGGAGGATAACTATATTATTTTCTTTAGGTTCACCTTCTTATTTAGCTTCTCTAGAATCACGAATTATAGGCTCAATGTCCTTTAATTATGGCTAGAATCCACTTATGAGTGAGTACATACCATATTCCTCTTTTTGGGTCTGGGTTACCTCACTCGGTAAAGCGTTTGATATTTCCATCCATTTGCATGCAAAATTCAACTCCAATGTGTATATGTTCCACACCTTCTTTAACCATTCTTCTATTGAGGGGCACCTAGGTTGTTTCCAGGTTCTGGCTATTACAAATAGTGCTGCTATGAACATAGTTGAACAAATGCTTTTGTGGTATGATAGGGCATCTCTTGGGTATATTCCCAAGAGTGGAATTGCTGGGTCCTGAGGTAGGTTGACTTAGAAGCAATTTCCTTAAACCAAAATTCTACTGTATTTCTGCAAAATGTCTTGGGTTTTTATACATATGATCTCTTTCTAAGAAAGTTCATTTGGAGGAATGGTGAAAATTGACAAGATTAGAATGTATTTGCTCTCCAGATAGAAGACATTAATTAAGTAGTTTAAGAACAGATACACACAATGGCAGCAATTTTTAAAAATTATCTGTAACTTTACTTTGACTTGCATAATTTTAAAATTAGTAAACTTTCATCTTGAATTTTAAATACTTGTACTTAATTGGCATATATTAAGTAGTATAGGCAGAAACTCAGTTAATTAAAACTCCACTTTGCCGCTGTTGGTAAAATACCTGAGGTTTTTTTTTTGTGTGTTTTGTAAATGGAGACAGTGGGGGGCTGGAGAGATTGTTCAGGGGTTAGGAGCACTGCCTGCTCTTCCAAAGGACCCAGGCTCAATTCCCAGCATCCACATAGCAGCTCACAACTGTCTGTATTTCCAGTTCTAGAAGATCTGACACCTTCACACCAATGCACATAAAATAAAACACATTAAATAAATTATTAAAAACAAAAAGAAAATAGAAACAGTGGCTGTACATGGTGGTGCATGCCTTTAATCCCAGCACTCGGGAGTTAGAGGCAGGTGGAGTTCTGTGAGTTCAAAGCCTGGTCTGCAGAGATAGTCCCAGGATAGCCAGGACTGTTCCATAGGGAAGCTCTGTCTCGGGGAAAAAAAAAAAAAAAAGACGGGATGAAGGAAAGAAAGAAGTAAAGAAAGAAAGAAAGACAGAAAGACAGACAGACAGAAAGGAAGGAAGGAAACATTGAACTTGTTAACTTAAAAAGTTTAACATACCTTCCTCTGTTATAGTTCTTGTACTGTTAATCTGTTCATATGTATTAATAAGATACTGTCAGCTCTGTGAAATTATCTGGGCAGAAAACAAATCTGGTTTTGCATCTCCAGTGTCACACATGGTTTTGGTTTAAGGAATATTTTTTGTAGCACTATTAAGCTAAAGATAGTTCTTACAAAGAAATATGTACATCGGTGGCATCTGTTTCTTACTACTCTTTTTCTTACATTCTTCTGCTCTTAGCACATAGCATATGCTCTGACATTTTCACTCCGAGCCAGATACAGCAGGACCAGCGGCACTACAGATACATGGCCAGGCTTAAGAACACCGTAAGCGGATCAGTAGGTAGACATCCTAGGCAGTAGGCATCCTCAGCTAGGAAGACTTCTCAGAGGAGAGACGTTTCTCCTAAGGACATATTTTGGCATAATTAATTTCATTTTGAGACAGTTATTCTTTTTAAATCAATAGTTTTACAGAAATGGTGATATAGCTTAATGCTAGATCCTTTGCACAGGCCTGGAGTTCAATCCTTAGCACTTTAAAAAAAAAGAGAGAGAGAGAGACACCCATGAGATTCTTAGGTGGTAAATATAGTAGTCAGGTATGGAGGCACAAGCTTACCATCCCAGCACTCAGAAAGCTGAGGCAGGAGGATTATCTTAAGTTTGAGGCCAGCAGGGTCATAGTAGAGACTTTCCAAAATGGGGGAAAAAACTAAAATTTTTTCTTTTGTTATTGATGGTAGTGACAAGTGTTTGCCAAGCTGCTGTTTCTAAGAGTTGGTAAGATGGATTTTCTAAATATTTATCAAAAGAATTTCCTTCCCCAGTAGATTTTTAACCTTCAGATTACAACTTCATTTAGGTTCCACTTTATTCTCCCATTCTAGTCAGTGGAGTTGACTAGGAATAGACTCCTAAATGCATATACTTTTTCTCTAATTCTGTTGGTAAATGAGTTATGAAATTGTTACATATTAGGCAAATACTTAGGGAAGCATGGTAATCAAGGATTTTGTCTGTATCTAAAATATGAAAAAAATCTATGTTCAAAGCTATACATTTCCATAAAGGTCTTATAAGTGGATAGAAGATGGCAGTTATTGTAACGAAAACCTTGAGTTGGTTCAGTGGTTAAGGACATCTACTGCCAAATTTGACAACGGGAGTTTAATCCCTGGGACCCACAAGGTGGAAGAAAAAAAATGAACTCTTTAAATCGGCTTCTGCCCTCCATATACATTGTGTACCTGCATGCACACACATACACACACACATAAAATAAATATTAAAAAATAAATTCTGGCTGAACAGTGGTGGTGCACACCTTTAATTCCAGCACTCAGGAGGCAGAGGTAGGCAGACCTCTGTGAGTCTGAGGTCAGCCAGATCTACAGTCTATAGAGCTAGTTCCAGGACAGCCAGAGCTACATAGAGAGACCCTGTCTCAGAAACAACACCAACAACAAATAAATAAATAATTTAATTAATTCTGTTGGCCATGTAGGTCATCTCCAAGATTATCTTCTTGTTCTCCTTTCTGTGTCTGTTTCAGTTATCTAAGTACAGTGCAATGACAGAAACTGAAGCGTGGGAAAATGTCTCTTAGTCTTTCAAATGTAAGTCATGGCCACAAGTAGCAATATTACACTGAACATGTAGACTTTACATAGGCCAGCGAGGTGGCTCAATAAGTAGAGGTGCTTGCCACCACGCGTGACCTGAGTTCAGTCCCCAGAACCCACATGGTGGAAGGATAGAACCAACTACAACAAATTGTCATCTGACCTCCACATTTGGTCCTGGCATGCATGTGCAGGCACACACACACAGATAATACTGATGGTGATGATATTAATAATGCACACATACAGTAATGATAAATGCACAAGATATAAATATTTTAAAAGATGTAGAATTTACATTTATATTACAGAACAACTTTGTACCCAAAAAAGCTTGTGTCTCCAAGAACAAAATCACCCTTTGTATGATTATGTGCAACAAGTGCCCAATAATTGACTTAAATATTTGTATTTATTATGTTGATTTAGTTTCTCTTTCCTTATGGCTATTTCTCTAAACTGTTTTATATTTACTAATCTTCATTACATTAAATAGTAGAAAATTAAGATAAGCATTTTAGTGTTGATTTATGATGCACATATACTATATATTCCCATACAAAATAGTTGGACATTTCCAATATAGTATTTTATAATAAAAATTGGTATCACAATTCAAGACAGATGCAGCTTAGAAATGTAATGCTTTCTTCTCTGATGGTTCAGAAGTATATTAGTTCATGATGGTCAGTTACAAAGTAATATGTAGAAGTCCATTTGCGAATCACTACACCACTTGTCTTCAACTGGAGAGGTGTCTGTAATTGCTTAAAGACATTGTACTTAGGGTTGTGTGACGTATACAAATACACAGCCTTTCTGAGATTGTGCCTCTTTTACAGATGTAAAAATGCAGTTAGAAATGAAAACCATTTAACGGTTGTGTCTGCGTGATGCTCTTCTAAAGGCTTATCAGCATTCCCTGATTTCTAACGGGGTCATAAGTATAAATGGACTCTTCTTAAAAATTATTGCATTTAGTTAAGAATGTGCGTGTGTGTATGAGAATGCATGCACACAATGTGATTGCACTTACATGTACCTATGCGTGTGAGGTGCCTCTTTGTGCATGCATGTACGTGGCAAAGCATATAGAGGTCAGAGAACAACTTGTGGGAGTGAGTTCTTTCTACTGTGTGGATCCTGGGGATAGAACTGAAGTTCTTGGGCTTGGTAGCAAGTGCCTTCACCTACTGAGCCATCTTCCTAGCCTTGCAATGGATACTTTTGTGCATATATTTGACATTTAGAACATGGTTGATATTCTGGAGCTTCTACTACCTAACTCTGATGAACATTATAGATGCCACACCTTGTTGACATTAAAATCTCAAATAAATGAGTTCTTCCATTCACTGAAATATCTGTCAACCCTGAAAAAATAGTCATTTATGCTTTTTGTGGTTACCCCTATGTTCTCAAAAAAAAAAAAAAATTCAGTCACTCTTGTTTTCTCTACTAGTTCTTAGATAAACCAGCTGGGTCCAGTGTGTCATCCTTGTAACCCCCGCACTGTGGAGGCAGAGGCAGGGAGATCACATCAAGTTCAAGGCCAAACCAGATCAACAAAATGAGTTCCAGGCTGGCCTGGGCTACAGAATGAGAACCTCCTTAAAAAATAAAGTTCTTAAGTAAGCCAGTTAATGACAGTTAAGTAGGTTGAAAACCAAACCAATAGAAGAAGGAAAAAATCAGTTCTGCCACTAATATATTAAGTCTCTTTAGCTGGTAGGTGTATATATTTTTTGTTTTCAATAATGAAATATACAAGGATGTAACTATCTTGAGAAACATACATTGGTGTAACTCTATAGTCAGTAGCAATGGTGATATAGTGACAGATATTGGATTTGCTTACTAATATATAGGGATGAAGAAAAATGCTGAAATACCAATTCCAAATGTTATAGTAATATATGATTCTTTTTTAAATTGAGCAGCTCTTCAACATGCAGGAAGAAGTCCATCCCAAAAGACCATTAATAAGTATTGGACTCCTCAAACTGCCAAACTGAATTTTGATGATTTTTGTATAATTTTAAGCAAGGAAAAACCTACTTCAAAAGCAGAATTGCTAAAATCATTTAAACAATTAGATGTGAATGACGATGGCTCCATTCTACACTCTGACCTTCATAAATATCTAACGAAGGTAAGAACTGTGGGAATTCTATACAGTGTATGTCTCTAAAGCAACTGGAGTCCAGCTTGGGCTACCAAAATCCACATTAAAGTAAGTATTCTCTCAACAGGTAAAATGAAGGACATAGAGTATTTTTAAAGTATTGGCAATCCTTCTCCATGAAAAGTGCTTTACAAATTAAAGGGAGAGTATAAGGTTGAGCCTGTGTTTCAGTCTCCCTGCTCTCTTGTCATTCTTTTCTGCTCAGAACTCTGAGAATCTATGATTTTCATGTATTTAGTAAAAGGAAAATAAGTATAAATGTGATATGAAATAATTTTGTTTCATTTCATTTTCTTTTTCTTTTTTCTTTTTTCTTTTTTTTTACACAGGGTTTCTCTGTGTGTGGCTTTTTAGACCAGACTGGCCTTGAACTCAGGGATCCACCTGGCTCTGCCTCCTGAGTGCTGGGATTATAGGCAGCACCACCACGCTCAACTCATTTTGTTTCTTGAACACTTAGAAGATATTATTACTCTAACTTCAATATCCATTATTACAGACTCTGTAACATGAATTGTTAAAATCGTGAAATTGAAATCAAGAATATTTTCACAAAATTTAATAATTTCATGATATTTTATTTAATATATTTTCATTATTGCTTAATTCTGACTCATAATGAAACTACATATTCAAAATTATTGTGGAAGAGATTAAAATGTATTTCCAACTAGGCATTGTACCTTACCCACACCTTTAATTCCAGCAGCTTGGAGAGAGACAGGCAGATCTCTGAGAGTTTCAGACCAACCTGGTCTACATAGTAAGTACCAGGTCAGCCAGGTCTATATAGTGAACAAAACATTGATTCTGTTGTTTTAAAACAAATCTTATTTTATTTCTAGAGAGGCGAGAAGATGACTAAGGAAGAAGTAAATGCTGTGATAAATTTGGCTGATGTAAATGCTAATGGAAAGTTTGACTACATGAAGGTAGATGAGCCTTTATTGATATAAACCTGCATGCTGTGTAGGGAATCACTTTTAATTTTCCCCAGTGCTGCTAATATATAGCTGACAAAATGGTATATATTAACAGTGTATACATAGATGCTTTTGATATATGTATACATTGTGAAATGATTAGACCATATCAGATAAGCGTGTTTGTTATTATTGTATTAAACCAAGGGCCTCATACATGCTAAACACTGTACCACGAAGCAACTCCAGCCCCTATACAAGTGTTGTATTTTTTAAAATACAGACAAGAGCATAGTTATGTACTGAATACTCATTGTACTTTTAATTTATCCTCTTCAGTCTCACAATTATGATCTGATGATTATATTTAAAATAATTAGCGTAATCCCTAATCTCAACATTCAAAATATGAAATGCTTTACAATCTGAAGCTAAGTTCCATGTGTGAGCCATGTGAGGCCTCCTGTAAGTATTGCATGAAACTTCCTCTGGCTATTTGTATAAGCAGTATGTGAAACATAAGTGTATTTCTCAGTTAAGACTTAGATACCATAAGATATTCTACTATGTATAAGCAAATGCTCCAAAATCTGAAGTCATCCAAAATACTTTTGGTTGGAGCATTTTGAATAAGGGCCACTCAACTCACAAAACAAAGTTAAAATACATACAGGTATACAAACAAGCATAGAGACTCCCTTCAGAAATGAACCGTTTCTAGGCTGGAACAGTCATAAAAATTATTTAGAACAAATGCAAGTCTATGTGTCTTGTTAAAAAAAAAATAAATCACCTCTCCTGGTGTACCATTCATTTTCACTCGGAGTGTGACCTCACTGATTGATGACTGCATTTCACTAGGTCACTTGGGGCTGGGCAGTCTGGTTCAGGGAAAATAACATGAACAACAAGTAAAGTAAAAAACACGTTTCATTGACTGGCCTTCTCCTTGCCTACTAATGTGTTATTTGCCTCCCTCGCCTCCCAGATGTCAGACTGAACATTTTCCCCATCAGCCGACTTTCTTCTATTTCTTTTAGTTTTGTAAATTATATATGACAACCAGCGAGCAGTGTCTCAGGACTACACTAGAAAGACTGGAGGCTGACAGTAAACTGAGGCGCCAACAGTTTGGAAGCCACATGGAAGGATCCCCTGAAAGAGGCCCATCTCCAGCACCAAAACCATCACCTAGAATCATAAGAAAAAATGACCAGGAAATGTTCTCAAGTAAAGGTATTTACTTTCAATACTAAAATTTTCTTGATTAGAGATGATGGATCATAATTCAGACAACAATTTCTTTTATCTCCAGTTATCAATAATAAAGTAAATGAGACCGTTCCTAGACTTTCTTAGCAGGGAAAATCTACTGAAGTAAAATTTTATTATGAAACCTCACTTGGCTGTGGTCATTATATTTTATTTAACTAAAATTTCAGACTAAAAGATGACATATTGAAATAAAGACTCTTACATTAGTAGCACATAAATTAAAACCGTTAAGGCCTGATCTATATAAAGTTCTCACTGCATTTCAGTAGGAAGAATAGAATGAAATGAGAGTGGTAGGCCATGTGACCCCTGTCTAGAGATCAACTGCTGCCAACCACTTTTCATAGAAGACCAAATCACTTCCGTTTTACAGGTGACGCAAGCCCTTCCTTGCTGTCAACAACTAGAAAGTTCAAAACATCTGTTTCCTGCACAATTACCATGAGCGCTAATAGTAACCGAGACTCAAAGTTAACAGAGCCAAACCTAAAGGTACAGTACTTTAAATGAACAAAATCAACTTTTTCTGAAAAGTATCTGGCTTTAAGATTATTAATAATTATTGAATGTTCACAAGGAACCAATGGAGTTAGTGAACTTATTTGAGTTTTTCCTATAGAATGCAGTATTTCTATTTGTAATATTTTAAATTAGATTTCATTTATTTATGAAAGAGTCAGCTCTTTCCTTACACCTTGTGGAATCAGGACAGAATTTGAGTTGTGTGCTTTGACTGTAGACACCTTTGTCTGCTGAGCTATCTTGCTGACCTTGGTTATGATGTTTTAAAGTAAAAAGAATGAGCAAGAATATTATTACATATAAGGTCTTCAGTTTGAAAGTGGTGACTCTTCAATTTTTAAATTTGATGAATAGATTAATTATCTATGTATCTTGACAAGTAAAATTTTTTGTTTTACAAATACTTTCCCTAGGTATTGTGTAAATAAATCATTCATTCAATATCAATTCCTGTGAGAAAAAGACCACAAAAGTCACTTTGCTAAGTCAATATTTGTTGAGTGTTAATATTGATCTTCTTCCTTTGTTTTCCCTTTTTAGACTCAACTTTTACTAGTTTTCTTTCAGCAGAAAATAATAGCTACCGAAATATAAAACATTAACTGGAAACTGCTAGGATACATTAAAAATGTGCACCTGGAGAGCTCTGTAGACGGGGAATGGTTCTGACCGTACACTATAGCTGCTGGTAGAGAACTGAGCTGATTGTTCTCCAGAGCTGCATTCTTGTTTCAAATAACAACTCTGTATTTGTTATTGAACTCTGAAGTCCCTTATATCTTTAAATTGCTAGACAGTGACATTTGTTCTATATTAAAATTTTAAAACATCATCTCTAAGGAATTTTGCTCTGACTGTTTAGGAATCTATACACCCTAAACAATTTGGTGTGCATGTCCACTTTGTTCACACATATTTTTATGTTCCAACAGTATTATTTTTCACCAATAGAACCTGTTTGTATCTTGTAATTAAGTTAAATGTTAAAATATTCGCCTTTAAATGTTAAAATATTAATTATGATTTACCTAACTCTAAAGTGTTTAAATTTAGTCATCATGTAGAGATATAAATATTAATAGATTATATTGAATCATTAAGATTTTTCTTCTCACCATTAATACAGTTCCTTTAGGTCAGTCCAGCAAATAATTTCTAATCAAGTAATGTGTGTCAATTATTTTGCTTAGTGTAAAATATGGACCTTGAATTGAAGAAATTTCCATTCGATTATTAGCTGTCATATGCCAAGGTAGCATAGCATAGTATTTTATTGTTATAATACATATTTATTAATTGAATACTCTGTTAAAAGAGTTTTCTTGGAACTGATCAAAGAGCTCAGAATAACACACCTGAAAGTAAATTCTAGCTATTACCCTAGTGCCTGTGTAAATGGGGGCAGGTTTAACAACCTCTCTTTTGAGTCTGATTTTCTTTAACTATAAATTGGGAATAATTTTATTTAATGCATTTTAAAGGATCTAAATTCTTTGTGTTTGTTTGTTTGTTTGTTTGTTTGTTTTGTTTTTCAAGACAATGTTTCTCTGTAGCCTTGGCTGTCCTGGAACTAACTCTGTAGAACAGGTTGGCTTCAAACTCACAGAAATCTGTTTGCCTCTGCCCCCTGGGTGCTGGGATTGAAGGCATGTACCACCATTGCCTGGCCTAAATCGATTTCAAAGCATTTAGCTTAGTATTAGGGACATAGTCACTTAAATTTTAAAAAAAAGTATTACAGACCTAAGACATGACTGCAGTTCTTTATATGGAAATGAAGTGAAAGTCTAGTCTAAGAACAGTTATTCTGGAATTGGACTGTGGATGGAGATGGGAGAAGGACTTACCTGAGAGGCTGATAGCATTATCTGCACGTGTAGTGATGCTAGCTGGCCTAGGTAGTTCTGAGTATATAGGAATGGGAGGATTCTAATAGACAGTCCCAATATTAGTCTGCAGGCCATAGTGGTTATAAAAGAAAAAAAGAGTCTGCTTACATTTTTCATCTAAACATCAAGAAGGAATGTTGGTGATGATTGAAAATTAGATTTTAAAAATACTAAGAATTTAATTATTAAAAGAAGTTGACATACTGTCAACTTAAAAAAGTTGTTTACATTTATTTATTATATGTATGTGCACATGCACCAGAGTGCATGTGGAGGTCAGAGGGCAGTTTGTGTGAGCTGATTCTCTCCTTCCTGTTTGTGGATTCCAGGGAGTGAACTTAGGGAAAGCACCTCTGCCTGCTGACCCATCTTGGTCAACTTTTTAATCCCTTATTTTTAATATAAATATTAATTTCTTTCAGAAATGTTGGCCTTGCATTTTTTAGCCTTCTTTGTTTATTATCTGGTATTTCTTAGATGAATTGACCCAAAATTACTGTTATTTTGACTTTTGAGACAGTCTATCCGAGGCTGTATAGAGATTTACAGTGTAATCGAGGATAATCTTGAAGTTTTGATCCTCGTGTTCCCACCCCCATCCAAGCGCTGAGCACATTGCTAAGTGAGATGGTGCTTTAGTCTGAGGCTTTCTGTCACTCAGCAGGGTTCAGCTCTTTCTGCTGGTGTTTTACTTAGAAGCGCTTTTTTTTTTTTGTAGATGTTAAATACATTTGTGAAATTTTAGGACCATTGTAGTATTTGGTTGTGAAAATACAAGATAAATGACTAATAAGACAGCTAAATTAATCTTCTTCAAGTACTTTAAGACAGTTGGTCCCTCAGTTTATGTGGGACAGAGAAGAGTGGGATCACACAGAAAGTGAGAGGCTTCAGAAATGTGCATTTGTTGCCATGGGGCAAATGTAAGCCAGAGTCTCTCTCCCTGCCCTCTCTCCCTTCCTCCCCTTCTTCCTCCCTTCTATGCTTTTGTTCACTTTTTAAGAAGGCAGGGTCTTGCTGTGTTTGTCCAGGCTGGACTCTAGCGCGCAGGCTCGGGCGGTCGTGTGTTTCAGCCTCCTAGAGTAGCTGAACTATAAGCACCATGCTTAGCAGCCAGGTTTTAAATCATAAATCCACACATCTATGAAAGACTTGAATTACAGGCGGAAAATAGGAATGTGCCAGTAACTGTACATATATGACTTTCTATTGCTCATACTTCAATATTGTATTACTATTCTCTTTTTAATTTTGGATTCTATCTAGTTAGGTTCTGTAATATTCAAGAAATGTCAAGAATTTTCTCTTGAGAAAGGAATAGCTTTTAACTTCCTTGCTATAAACCAGTCACTAGTGAAATGAGAGTTGACCACAAGTCAGCAGTGGTGAGCTCCAGAGATGTACCCGCCTGTATTTATACTCTTAGTTGGGACTTGTCATCTCAACATGTTTTTATGATATGCATATGACACATACCATATAGCACATATATAGTATCACATATACATGTATCATATAATATCAAGCTGTATGAATTCACAGCATGTTATATATGCATAAGCCATGTGCATGTGAAGCATACCATATATCATACACAAGTTTCTCTACAAAACAGTACAAGTGCATGATACAATTATACATATAAATATATAATACAAATTGATAATGGATCAGTCTTAATGTTTGTTAAAGCACTAGTTATGTTTTCTTTTCAAAATGTTAATCAATTGATCCATCAATTAAAAGATAATCCATATCAGTTTTCCTTCATACATCATCTACTTAACCTTTTATTTTTAAGAATTCTTTAGTGACAAAAAATTAAGAGCGTGTTTCAGACAACGAAAGTGAATAGCTTCCTGAAAGGGCATGACACAGACTCTCGGTAAAGAGGGGTGGAGATGACAGCCTCCCGTGCTGTCATGGCGGCAGGTCTGCTTGTGGTAGAATTCCATGTAAGGACAACCCAGGAAAGATGTAACTTCACTAATCCATTTGCGATCACTATTTTCTACTTTAAAATTTGTAGGTTGTGTCTTTAGTATTTCCTTATTTCTTATGAGTGGGAGATGTAAACCATGTGTCACAGTGAAAGAAGTCCTTTGCACTTACATGAATGTTCTCGAATTGGTAGAATCTAGCACCACCTCATGCCCACTCTAAGAATTACAAGCTATTTTATTTGTCAAAAAATGTATTACACATGGAATTTCCTCCTGTTATTCTAAAACGATTTTAAAACTCAGTGTACGTTCATTTTCTCATAAACTCAAACTGTCAGCTGTATCAGTATTCTATTCAGATTAATTTATTTGAACAATTCAGACAATTTCTCGGTATTTTTTTACTTTTAATTCATAGCATGTTGGTTTGGATTCATTCATTCTTAGGGTGTTAGTCTGAACCCAAGATCCTCCTCACCCCCCAAAAAAAGCAAAAACAAAAAACCTTTGTGATTGAAAGTCTTGTTTTAAATAAAATTTCAAGTTGAGTAAGCACTGTATGTTTAATAAGTTTTGTGGATCTTAGGAAACCCGCTGTTTCTTTGTGAGCGCTGCTGCTCGAGGTTTCTTAGTGATGTGATTTACGGTTCTTCTTTCGGGGTCATCATGCGGCACTTACCCTACCTTTGTGTAGGGATTCCCTGCTGTTTCCAGGCCTGTTAGCCTCAGTCTAATATTACAGTATGGAGTTTGGCAGTCTTCCATAGAAATTTACAAATTCTTTTTCAATTATAGCATTTTTTTTTTCCAGAACTGGAACATGAGAAAGATACCTAATAAAGATGTTAAACTTCTCAGCTAGATTTTTAAAGCCATTTCCTATCAGCCCTTGGCACTGCCCCCAGAAGAACTGCCATGAACAACTTCTCTTTAGTTTCCCAAATGTCACAAATCACATTAACTACTAATATTCTAAACAAAGTAATTTAAGGAAAACAAGTTCCTTTAGGGCGGTGAGAAGGCTCAGCAGGTAGAATCTTGACAACTAGAATTCAGTCTCCCGATCCCAGTGGAAGGAGGGAACCAACTTTAAAAATATGGAGAGCTGCTGCATTTAAGCTAAACACTTAAGTTTGTTTATTTTATTAAACCCTTAAGGGTTTAAATAATTCAGAATGATAATGCTCCATCATTGTATCATTTACTGTATATGTTTATGTTATATATTATATTATTGATTTATAATATAAACACGAAACTTCATTTAAAGCTCACTTTAGAAAATCATGGTAGTTTTTTGTTGGTGTGTTTTATTTTTGAGAAAGGGTCTCACTGTAGCCCTGGCTGGCCTGGAACTCTGGGTATGCCAAAGTGGCCACAAACTTGCAGACATCCTCCTATTTTTGCCTCCCAAGTGCTGGAATTATAAGCAAAGTCGCTATGCCCAGTATTCATGGCAGATATTAAATGCAAAGTTGACCAGAACTCAGAATACAACTGGTAGATGGGAGAGGAAGACTTCTGACGTCTTTGAGAACTGTGATATCATGCCTGCCGTATTGTTTTCCAACCTTTGCTTCTATACCAAAATGAATGTCCTAGATTGCCTTTAGACCCTATCTTTAAAATGACCTGACGTCTTTGATGGAAAGTTGCAAGATCTGAAATTCTCCCAAACCCTCCAAATTGTAAACAGTACAACAACCCACACCTGCCCTCATGTGATGGCTGCACCCCAGCTTGCGGTATGTGCTGCATACTTAGGTGCTGTGGGACAATGGCTTTACCCTGTATAGGTTTGTTTCTTGTGATTGGCCAGTAGCCAGGCAAGAAGTAGAGGCAGGGCAATGAGAACAGGAGAATTCTGGGAAGAGGAAAGGGTCAGTCCGCAGTCATCACAAAGAAAGCCAGACACAGAGCAAGCAAGATGAGACTGCCTCACTGATGAAAAAGGTACCAAGCCACGTGGCTAATGCAGACAAGAATTATGGGCTAATATAAGTTATAAGAGTTAATAAGAAGCTTGAGCTAATAGGCCAACCAGTTTATGATTCTTTTAAGACTCTGTGTATTTCGTAGGGATGAACAACTGTAGGACCAGGCAGGACAGAAACCTCTGTCAACCCTTAGGCTATGTGTAAAAAACGTGCTTAAGAAATGGTGACTCTCCTGTTTAGATTTGGGTCTCATTCCAAAGATGTCATGTCATGTATGAACAGCTATTCCAAAACCTGAAGGAAAAAAGCAAAATTTAAAACATTTCTGGTTCTCAAGATTTTAGAAAAATGCATGCAACTTTTATTTGACAATTATGATTGGTTTATTTTATGTCTGCATTTTCTCCCCTATGTTTGTACACTCCTGAAGGGCAATAGGTATATCTGACATTTCTTTAGGGTTGTCTCTCATTTTCTCATCATTTCTATGCATGCTGAAACATTTAATAAATATTGTTTGAAAATGTTTCCCTTCATTTCAGGACTGGCATTGTGTGCAGTCGAAAGGCTGTTTCTTTTTAGAAGAAGATGGTGAAGTTGTTAGTCATCAGTACAAGATGCACATAGCTCAAAGATCTATGCTTTATCTAACAATTAAGCCACTGAATCTGAGTCAAGTTGAAGGCAAGTTTAAATTATTTGTATATGTTTGTATGTATGTGTTTATTTGTTCGTTCGTTCGTTCGTTCGTTCATTCATTCATTCATTCATTCATTTGAGGCATGCTATATCACTGTGTACCTCTGACTGACTATTCTGGAACTCACTATATAGACCAGACTGACCTTGAACTCACAGAGATCTATCTGGGAGTAAAGACTGAGGCTGCTTTACTTACCTTTTTCTATTTCAAAAATAGCAATTTATATTCTCTGAAAGTACTTTATATTTCCTAGTCCTAGTTAAGAAAATAATCTGCCCAAGAAATGTATGGTTTTATTTGGTTTTAAATTTTTTAATTGTGTTTATTCTTCATATATGTTGTTTAGTTAGATAAGTACATTTTAATGCAAATATACTATACATTAAATAAATCCCCCCAAATCCTCCTTGTCTTCCCATTTTTTCCTAGTCCCTTTTGTTAACTTAAACAGTTTGACTTCTACTTGTATGTCATATATACATACAGGATCTTATGTGTCTATATAGAATCTAGGAACCTGTATTGGCAAGATGACTCAGCGTGTAAAGACACTTGGCACACAGCCTGATGTATTTAATCTTTGGAACCCATGTAAAGGTGGAAATAGAGAAATGACTCCATAGAATTGCCTGTGACCTCGACACATGCACTATGCCATATGACCTGCTCCAAATGTTTTTCTTTCTCCCTCATGCATACACACTAACAATTAACATAGTTATTAAAACCTTGGAACTACAATAGAGAGAAAACAGATGATAATTCATTTACAATTATCTCCATTATATTTATCTTCCTTCAGACAAAAGAACTTGGCTATTCTTTACACTTAAAAAAAGTTTCCATCTGGGCCAGACGGTTGTGGCACATGCCTTTAATCCCAGCACTTGGGAGGCAGAGGCAGGTGAATCCCTGTGAGTTTGAGGCTGGCCTGGTCTACAAGAGCTAGTTCCAGGACAGCTAGGACTGTTGTTACACAGGGAAACCCTGTCTTGAAAAACAAAACAAAACAACAACAAAAAGTTTCTCTCTGTGTGTCTGCATGAATGATTATACCACACTTTCTTATCTGTTCCTCTGTCATTGAACACTTACATAGTGCTGCTTATAGACATTGATGCACAAATATTGTTATAAAATGTTGAATTGGAGTCCTTTGGGTAAACTGTCAGCTGGCTCACATGGTAGATTTAGTTTGAGATTTTCAAGAAACCTCCATATTGATTTCCATGGTGTCTGGCCTGGATGACATCTCTCACTAGCCCTTTAGAAGGATTTCGTTTTGTTTACATCCTGTTGGAAATACTCTTTTGCTCAGGAGCATTTTGGCTATCCAAAGTGTTTTATGCTTCCATAAGAGTTTTAAGATTGTCTTTTCTGTTTTTATAAGGAATGTCATTGGATATCTGGAAGGCATTGCCTTGAGTCTCTAATTTAGATACAATACCAATTTTTATAACATTAAGTCTTACAGTCAGTAACCATGGGAGGTCTCTTCCTCTTTCAGTGTCATCTTCAATTTCTTTTATTTTAAAGTTATAAATATGTTTTTTATTTATTTGCAAGTTTTTAAATAATAGAGCTTATTAAAAAATAAATTTTTCATTGTAAAAGTTTTCTGCCACCTTGGTTAGGTGTGTTTTAAGGGTTTGTTGTTGTTTTGAGGGATTGCAAATTGGTTGTTTTCATGGTTTGTTATTGTCATAGAAGATGGCTACCGGGTTTTGCATGTTAATTTTGTGTACTGCCACTTTGCTGATACTGTTAGTCTTTAGGGTATCTTATGTATAATGTTTTATCTAGAAACAAGCATTCTTTTATCTTATTTTTTAATTTTAAACTTTGTTATTTAAAAATACTTTAATGAAACACATTTCTCAGCCTGAAGACTATACAACTTTGTAAATCTCTATACAGTGAGAATAGTCATTCAGTTCTTCCTCAGTCCTAACATTTAGCCTTTCCTTTTTCATTTTCTGCATTTTGTATTGCATCTACATGTACATTTGCCTGTATCTACATAATTGTATGTCGATATATACAGATATTATTGCCTAGATTCTGCATGTGAGAGAGATATGCAGGGTTTTTTTCTTTCTCAGATTGTGTGACCTTACTTAATAGTTTGCATTCTAAGTTCATTCATTTCCCTGCATGTTTTGTGATTACATTTTTCTTTAGAGAGAATAGTTGTTTGCACACACACACACACACACACACACACACACACACACAAAGTTTTCATGACCCGTCTATCTTTTGATGGACATGTAGGTTGATTCCAGTTCTTCACTATAGTTAGTAAAGCAATAAATGTGGAGGTACAAATATCTCCATGGTAGAGTAAAATAGCAAGTCATATGGTGGTTCTATTTTTAATTTTTGGAGAAATATCCAAACTATTTTTCAGAATGCCTGTATTAGTTTGCATCTGAAAGTATTCCTTTCTTGCTCCAAACTCAAAATATTGGTGATAGGCATTCTGACTGGAGTAAGGTAGTATATCACAGAAGGTTTAATTTGCTTTTCCCTGATGTCTGGGAATGTTTGAACACTTACACGTAGTTATGGAGCTGGAGAGATGGCTCAGCAGTTAAGAGCACTGACTTCTCTTCCAGAGGACTTGGGTTCAATTCCCAGCACCCACATGGTATCTGTAACTCCAGTTCCAGGGGATCAGACACCCTCACACAGACATATATGCAGGCCAAACACCAAATGCACATAAAAATAAATACAAATAGTTATTCACCATTTGTGTTTCTTTAAAAAATATTAAATTTGTTTGCCTGTTTATTAGTAGTTTTGTTTCATTGGCATTTTATTTCTGCAATTGCTTATAAATTCTGGATATTGTCTTACATGTAGCTGGTTACAACTTTTCTCCCATTCTGAAGGCTGTCTGTTCATTTGCTGTACGGAAACTTTATATTTTGATGTAGTCCTCTCTTGTTGATACTGGGTTAGTTCTTGTGTTATTGGTGTTCTATTTTGTCTACCTCAATGTCTTGAAGGGTATCCTCTATGTTTTGTTCTAGAAGTTTCAGTGTTTCATGTTTTAAATCAAGGTTTTTGATCCAATTTGAATTGTTTTTTGTACACAGTGAAAAATAAGAGTCTAGCTTTATTCTGCAGGTGGGAGGTCAGTTTTGACAGCACATTGTCAAAGAGGCTATCTTTTCTTCAATGTATATTTTTGCTTCTTTTATCAAAAATAAAATGAAAATAGGTTTGTTGTTTTGTTTTGAGGTCCTCTATTTTATTCCACTGATCTGTTTTTATACCGGTCCCAGACCATCTGTGTGACTATAGTTCTGTAACACAGTTTGAGGTTGGATTTCGCAATAACTGCACCAGGGTTCTCACTCTTTACTCTTCCTTTGGCTACTCATGGTTCTTTATGATTTATATGAACTCTTGTGTTGCTTTTTCAAAACATGTGAAGTTTTGATAGGTGTTAAATCTCTAACTTAGTTTTGTTGGTGTGGTCCTTTTCACAGTAGTAATTCTGCTAGTGCAGGAGTGTGCAGTGTCTTTGCACCATCTACTGTCTTTTTCATTTCCCTTTTCAATATCTTGAAGTTTTCATGGTAGAGATCTTTCTCTTCTTTGGTTAGATATATTAATAAATTTACTTAATTCTTTGGAGTTGTTTTAAATATAATATTTTTCCAATTTATTTCTCTGCAAGTACACCATTGATACAATTTTGTAATCTGCAATTTTACTGTTAAGTGTTTATTAGGTCCAAGAGCTGTCTGGTCGATTCAGTAGGGTCTTTTAAGTAAAGAATCATGCCACCTGCAAATATGGATGGTAGGAAAATAGAAATAAGCACTTTAATTTTTTCCTATCTATATCTCACAGATTTCTTTTTCTTGTCTATTGCTTTAGCTAAGACTTCAAGCATTATGTTGAACAACAGTGAAGAAAATGGCGGTTATATTTCAAAAAAGCATTACTTTAGACAGTTACTGTGTTATCATTATGCAAAGCAAATAAAAATAAAGTGTCTTTTCTTAGAAACAAAAGATGCTATTTGGTTCTTCATGACATAGACTCAACTTTTCATTTGTTTTTCTCCCCTTTCTCTTTCTTTCTTTCTCTCTTTTTTTGAGACAGGGTCTTGCTCTGTAGCCCTGGCTGTCCTAGAACTCACTCTGTAGAGCAGGGTGGCTTCAGACTCACAGAAATTTGTCTGCCTCTGCCTCCTAAGTTCTGGGATTAAAGGTCTGTGCCACTATGCCAGGCTTTTTATTTGTTAATTAATCATAGCTTTTTTCATTTATAATTTTCCATTTAAAATTAATATGTCTAACAGAAATTCTATAGAAGCATAATTTGGGATATGAAACTGCAAGTATTTTTAATATCTTCAATGTCTATGTCTGTACTAGAGAAGGTATTTAGTAATAATCATTTCATTCACAATAATATTTGTATGTAAAATTCATAGTTATGTACTGTTTGAAATGGTCATTTCTTGAGAATTGAAACCTTGACCTCATGCATGATAGCCAAGTCTTTAGTGATCCCCTTGGATATTTTTTAATGATTGTTCTAAATCATGCATCACATTTGTTTATAAACAAACATATTCTTTCATAAAGATTCTCTCATACCCCTAAAATAGATAATTTAGAAGTTTTGTTTTAGATATTACAGGATAGCTACAATGTTTGGTAGTTGATTAAATCCCCCACCTCATTTTGTTTTGGTTTGGTATTTGGTTTTGAGGTAGAATCTCACTATTTATCCCAGGGTGGCCCTAAACTTATGATCTTCCTACCTTAGCCCCTCAAGGAGTAGACCAGCACTACAACATGCTCAGCAATAAAATTTTTTTAATTTATTTCTGCCCACATGAATTTTTGTCTGCCATGTGTGTCAGATACCTGGAGAGGCCAGAGGGCGTTGGGTCTGTGTGGGCTGTCATGTGTATCTGGAAAAGAATTGGGGTCCTCTGCATGAGCAGCAAGTGCTCTTAACTGCTGAGGCAGCTCAGGAGTTTATATGTTTAAATAATAATGACAACATCAGTTAAATAGTGACTTAAGATGGCTATGTAAGTTCAGTGTTAGTTCTCTATTCTCATGAAGAGATTTCCTTTATTAATTCATTAAATATTTATTGAAGTTCTTATATATTAAACCTCAATTTAGATGTTCAGGATATATTAAGTACATAAAAGACCAAAGCATCTACTCTCAAGGACTTAAATTTTAGTGAAAGAAGCAATAAAGGAATAAATAGTAAAGGAACTAGCTGGCATAGTGGGACACACTCATAATCTCAGCACTGGGGATACTGAGGCAGGAGGATGAGTTCCAGGTCATTCTGGGATACATATTGAGACTTTATCTTTAAAAAAAAAAAGGCAGGAATTGTGGCAGTACATGCCTATAATCCCAATACTCAGGAGGCTGAAACTAGAGAATTGCCCCAAGTTCAAAGCCAGTTTAGTCTACAGTATGTACACCAAGGCTACAGTATGAGTCAGTCACTGTGTCTCTCTCCTAATGTACACACACATGACAAATAAAAGAGGAAAATTGAAGAGAAAATGAAAAGTATAGAAAGACTGGTTCTGAGAAACGGAGACTGCCATTAAAATGGAGCCATCTTAGTATAAGATTCATATATGATCAAAGACAATCAGAAAATAATGTTTTATTTTTTAAAAGATTTTTATTTATTATATATACAGTGTTCTGTGTGCATGTATTCCTGCAGGTCAGAAGAGGGCACCAGATCTCATTATAGATGTTTGTAAGCCACCATGTGGCTGCTGGGAATTGAACTCAGGACCTGTGGAAGAGCAGCCAGTGCTCTTTAACCTCTGAGCCATCTCTCCAGCCCCTAAATAATGTTTTATAAAGTATGTCAGTTACCAACTGCTACAAATCAAAATGCCCAAATTTCAGTGACTTAAAATAATTAAGGATTTGTTGATTCATGAGACCTTTTAGTCTGAGCCTGGCGTGGCTTTTCTGTGCAGGGTTCACTCACTCTTTTGCAGTGACAGGTTAGCTAATGGCTGCATTTACAGTGCTGGCTGCGTTCTCTGTGTGCAGTTCCATCTAGGACAGCTTGACTGCTCCAGAGTATCTTTCATCTTCCAGTAAGCCAGCATGTACTTTCTTATATTGTAACTGGAATCCGAGAGGGGGGGACCAACAAAAAATAAAACCAAAAGTACAGAAACATTTCTGGAGTGGTGGTCTCAGAGCGGACAAAGTGTTAACTTGCGTTCCGTTCTGTTATTCATAAGTCACAAAGTCCAAATCAATAAGACTGCAAGAGAAACTTTATCTCTTGATGGCGAAGCTGTCTAATTGCATCATAAAGGTCTGTGAACCCAGAGAGGGCACCTGTTTTGTGATGCTCTCTCCCAGGAGGCGAATTCTAAAGCATTATTGCTATAGAAGGATAAAGGAAGGGCAGTGGAGGTGGCAGAGCATTCCAGATAACTTGCTAAGTAAGAGGATTTGGTGTAGAATGTGATGGTGCAGAACAGGAGCTGAGGGGCTAGAGAAATGGCCTGGTAATTAAGAGTTTTTACAGCTCTCGCAGAGGACCAGGATTCAGTTCCCAGCATCCAAATGGTAGATCACAACAATCTGTAAATTCAGTTTCAAGAGATCCAAAACTTTCTTCTGGCCTCTAGAGGCTCCTTCCCACATATGGTACATATAAATTCATGCAAGCAGACATACATACATACAGAATAAATCAGTCTTGGGCTGGAAGCTAGTCTGTCTGGAATGAGTAAGCAAGGAGAAGTTGGTAGGGAATGAATGAAGAGCAAAGGAGCAAGAGTATAAACTGTAAGAGATATGTCCTATAATGAAAACTTTTTTTTACTAAGAGAAAAGTTTGGGGAGGAAAGATTTTTTTTGTTACGATTTTTTAAGCAGTTTGAATATGTATCTAAGTTTTACTATTGATTCTGTGTATTGTTACTGTTGGTTAGTGTGCTGTTAGACATTTATTGTCTGGGGTTCTCAGAGAGTCTTGGATATGTGCCTTTCTTGCTTTTGGAAAATCCTCTCACTTTATTCTTCTACCTTTTTTCTTTCCTAACACACCGCCTCCTGTGCTCCAACACAGAAAAGCCAGGGCTTTCAATATCTCATCCCACTTGGGAACGTGCCTTTCAGTCTCCTTAGTTATGACATGCCCTCATAACAAGAAGTTCTGATAACTTCTTGAAGTTCATCTGCTTTTTCTTATTGGCAGAGCAATATACTTTGAGCTTTATCTCAGCAGAGGGTTTTAAGTAGGGACAATGTGTGACCTGACCCATCTAAGCATGTAGATAACATGACCGTCTAAGAGTAGAGATGGTTTCTCCCAGGGCAGTATCAGTGCTGGATCCCAACTCTTCCTGGAAAACTCTGCTCTCACGTAGATCTTGACTTGCTTGTCTTGCACCTCAGCTGTTGTTTTTCATTGTTCTGTTTGGTTTTAGTTAGGATGAGCACATTGGCGACCAAACCCAGGTCCTCATGCATGGAAGGCAAGTGCATAGGCTCATGTCCAGCCATTGAAACACAGCTTTTTGATGACTTCAAGAAATTTAAGGCCTTTTAGAAACTGAATACGGAGAGACTGTTTTTCATAAAATTAAATATAGTAGTGGCATATTATAGATATTAAGATATTTGTATATAAAAATGGGATGTGTATTTCTTTTTCAAAATCTACTGGGTAAAGAACTTAAAAGAATGTACAGTGATTGGCTGATCTGAGGTGGATTTTGTTGGTAATATTGTTGTTGTATTTCTAGGAAAACGTTCCCCCTGGTTATCCGTTGATACGGCCTTATATATTCTTAAAGAAAGTGAGGATCAAGCAGAACCACAGCTCATGTGTTTTACTGAACTACGAAATAGAGAAGTATACATATTTTTTTCATGTTTAAGAATGTAATAATATGAAGCCACGTTGAGGGAAATCATAGCTTTTCACCAGTATTTTAAACTCAGATGTTCTCTATTCTAATGAAGGTATAGGTAGTACCTAATCATTATGCTATTATATATGTTTTATTAACTGTAATCTTATATTCTAAGATTTTTTTAAGGATTGATGATTGATAGCCTTGGCTCTATAACTACGTGCCCCGATGTATCTCATGAAAATATTTTTTTGTTATTGCTCTCAATAAAGAGGGTGATGTCATTAGATTCTTCCTACCCTCCAGATACACGACCCCAGCTACAGCAAAGTTTGCTTCTGGTGTCTGTCTTACTTGTCCTACGACTGCAGAGCAGGAACTCTCCCAAATTACTATCCTCAGGGTTGACTCATATTGTAGGGTTCAGAAAGAGTATGATGGAAAGAAATGCTTTAAGTGTTTTTATATGTTGCCTCTGAGGTTGTTCTGGTCTTTTCTAATTATGTATTTACTCAGAGGCTAAATATGTGAGCAGATACATACATGTGCCTATTTATTTTATGAGGACTGTAAAATACAATCTACTTCACAGCAGCAGAAATAATACTATTCAAGAACTTACTGCAATATCATATTTAATCTTTATATCAGCTCAATGACAGACAAATATTTTCCTATGGGATGTTATATAGAAGTCTTTTTTGGAGGCCTCCTAACAGACAGAAGTATCACCGGCCAGAACCACATAAAATGGCAGAAGTTAACATTTTTACTAAGCTCTTCTTCATAGCTGACTATGAGGTGAAGTTAAAGATAAAGCAATGTCAGAAACAATAGCTTTTCCCATTTGGTTTTGGATGAAATGACTTTCTTATAAGATTGCATGTGTAAAAACAGTCAATCATAGCAAAGCTATGTTTAAACTGAGTTTCTGTGGGTGTCTTTATAGGCTTCTGTTTATCTGTAATATGTCATATTTACAAAGGATTTTTACTAGTAGTTTTAGCTTCACAATTATTTTCCTTAAGAAGAGTTTGGTACCCATGAAGAACTTCCTAGTTGCCTTCTATAGTGGCCCTTCACAGTTATATGTGGGAAATAAAGGAAGTTCATGGGATGACATCCACTAGGAAGTAGCAAGATATTTTTTAACTCCTCCATGTCAGCCTATATATGGTTAGTCTAAACAAATATCATTTCCAAAGCATGGATTTGGTATATTAGCCTACACAGTGATCCTCAGTTACACTGAATATTTCTTCTTCCCAAATAGAGTTTTGTGATAACCTCAGGGTAATTATAGTGCTTGGATAATCAGCAGAAAGAATCTAGAACTCAGATGATCAACTTATTTTGTTTATGACCCTCCAGGATGACCTAAAATAGGTTTTGGGAAGGCTATTTGAGCACAATACCTGATGTAATTTGGGGACTAGTCTGTACTGTAGCACAAGTAACTGTACTTAGCTGTCATACATAACGATTGAATATGTACAGTTAGGGTAGTCAAAAGATGGTCCCTGGTTTTTATGAAAAATGTTTAGGCTCCAGAAAGCTCCTAGGAGGTATATAGTAGGATACCAGTAGCTTTCCATATTGAATAGGCAAATAAAATGTGTTTATACAAATGTTTTGATCTTCATTATAAATATTCAGCATTTGTTAGGAAACAGTTTCAGGCAAGCAGGTCTGTTTAGGACTCTTCATCTTGTTTTATAGTCCTTGTCACCTAGTGATCTTAGCAACACACCTAAAAGTATTCTGCCAAAAAAAAAAAAATAAGGAAGGTCCACAAAGATCAAATCAATACCCTTCTCACATCCATACATACACACACACACACACACACACACACACACACACAGAGAGAGAGAGAGAGAGAGAGAGAGAGAGAGAGAGAGAAGAGACAGACAGAGACAGAGACAGACAGAGACAGAGACAGAGTCAAACTTAGAGAAGCAAAGATGTATGGTATGGTTTTTCTGAGATACCAGCACTGAGGTGTCAGAGGCAGGAGGTCTACAAATTTAAGGCCAGACTAGGCTTCATAATATGTTCAAGGCCAACATGAACTCTACAGTGAGACTGTCTGAAAAAACAAACAAACAAACAAAAAACCCATGAATTCCTGGCCCAAAAAACAAAACAACGAACAAAAAACAGCAGCAGAATAGAGAGTAATATTGTAATATATAATTCAGCTTTCAGACATGTGTTTAACTCATGTAAAAGGTGAACTTAAAAGTATATTTAAGTTTTTTTGATGCCATCTAAATGTTATTTAAAAATCATATGTTCATATTTTAATCACAGTAGTAGGAGATCTTTACTACTTCTCTTTAAGAAGCTTAGTGTTTGTATTTTTAAAAAATATTCTAAAATTACTCTCTGGTTCCTGTTGAAGGCATTTGTGTCACAAACATTTTTAAAGATTTTTGGGAATGACCTAGATGATATATAGCTTCTTCTCTTCTTTTGCTTTTAGGTAATTTTGAAAACGTAAAGGACCATATTGTATTATCTTGTACTAGGAGTACCCCTAAGAAAAAGAATTTAAAATCAGTAAAAGGTTAATAAACTATAACTAAATTGATAAATGTGATTTAAAATAAGTGATCTCTCAAGTTCCCCCTTCAGAAGAAAGATTTAAAGTCATTAAGACTTTTTATTGTTCATTTTGTTTAATTCTTCTGATAAAAGGTGTTTGGATGGACTGGTGAACTAGGACCAGGAATTTATTGGTTAATTCCTTCCACAACTGGCTGTAGACTAAAAAAAGAAGTAAAACCAGTAACAGAAGAAGCCCAACTTGTATATAGAGATGAAACAGGGGAATTATTTCTTACAAGTGAATTTAGGTAAGTTTTGTTTATACTCACCTGTCTTTGCCCATTGTCTGGGGACTGTTCCTACCCCCTTTATGCGACCATCTCCCACCCGCCATCTTTCTTTGCCCAGCTTTCATCCCCCTCTTTGTGTGGCCAGCTTATACCCCCATTTTCTGTGGCCAGCTCTCCCCTCTTTCTGCGGTCAGCCCTCACCCCCATCTTCTGTGGCTAGCTTTCTGCTTTAACTCAGTATCTTACCACAACATGTTGGGCAGTGCACTTAAAACCACAAAAGGCACAAAAACCAGTGCCTCATGATTTCACTTATATGTGAGATCTACAAAGTAAAATTTATAGAAGCAGGATGGAGATTACCAAGGATTGGTGGTGTGAGGAAATTGGGAGAAATATTGTTTAATAAGTAGAAAATTTCCATTAGACAGGAAGAGTAAATGCAGTTATCCATTGTGTAATATGATAACTAGACTATAGCTAATAGCAATTTATTATATTTAATAAAAATATATTTGGAATTTGCTACAAGAGTAGATTTTAAGTGTTTTCACCATAAAAACTAAATATATGAGATAATAGGTGTGTTATTTAGCTTGATTTACTCATTCCACAATGTATACATGCACAAAAAGTTATACATGCTATGTATAACAAATACATTTTTTAAAATTCTTTAAGTAACCAAGAGTGACACTGTGTTTAGAAGTCTAGGATTGTCCTTAGTTTCTAGGTTCTGTGTACTTGGCCAGACTTCATATACATCTCTACCAGTGTCTTCTCCAGCAGACATCGACTTTAATGGTAGATTCTGTTAGTTCCACTCTTGATTTTGATAACTGTTAAAATCAGAAGTCTAAACCTAAGGGTGGTCTTCTATGTCCTAGATGATCACAATGAGATTTGACCACAGACAGATAAAAATGTATTTGGATATACTATAACTCAGAAAAAATTCTTAAATGCCATTAGTATTGTTTCCTTTGAAACTTGTTCTCAAAAACTGTCTTTAGGAGCTAGAGAGATTGCTCAGTGGTTAATAACACTGGGTGCTCTTCTACCTGGGTTCAATTCCTACCACCCATGTGGTGGTTCATACTCATCTATAACTTCAGTCCTAGAGGAGCCAGTGCCCTCTACTGGCCCCTTGAAACACCAACCATGCACATTGTGCACAGACATACATACAGGCAAAACACACACACACACACACACACACACGTCTTTAGATTTTTTTGTTTTAAAATAATAATTCTATATTTTTATAATTTAGGTCAACTTTATCAGAGATATTTGAAGTCATTGATTTAGATGGAAATGGTCTTATTAGCCTTGAGGAGTACAACTTTTTTGAATTGCGAACAAGTGGTGAAAAGTGTGATGAGGACGCGTGGGCTGTCTGTAGAGGTGAGTGCTTGTTAGACTTCTCCATGGAGTAGCATTATAGCGTTTAGGATAGTGGGGAGAAGCCTAAACACGGGACTGGAGAGGAGACACAGTGGTTAAGAGAACTTTTTGCTCTTGCTGAGGGCCCTGGTTAGGTCCTAGCACCCACATCAGGCACCTATACCTCAGTTCCAAGTCTTTCTCTACCTTTTCCTGCCCTTCACAGGCATCTGTACTCAGATAGTGCACATAAACTCATGCAGACATACACATAAAGTTTAAAAAGGTAAATCTCTCTTTTTTAACATAAGCATTTATTTTCCTTATGTGATAGTTGGCATACTTACTAAACTATGTGAATTACTTAATGATTATTTCCACTTTGGGGGATTTACACCCCAGACACTCCGACGTGTCACCTTCCCACCTTCATGTCATAACCTTTTCTTCCTATTCCTCCTCTTCTCTGCCTCCTACTTCTTCTCTCCCTTCTTCTTTTTTTTTTCTTCCTTTCTTCACCCTCTGAGTCCAGTTGTTAGTACTGCCTGCGGGAATATTAACAGATATTATTGGGTTGATCTTGTGAGGGTGAGCATATGCAGTGAGTTCATGCCTGTAAGAGCCATGCATCCTAAGACAGCATTCATCCTCATCCTCCTGCTCCTACATTCGTTCTGCCCCTTCTTCCACCATGTCCCCTGGGCCTTGGGATAGGGAATGGTCCCTGAGTAATCAGCAAGCACGTTTGTGCTCTGAGTACTTCACTTAAGTACTTTATTCACCTAGTTATGAGACTCTAGATTAACTATTGCCTATTATAGAAAAGGCTTCTCTGACCAGGGTTAAGAATAACACTAATCTGAGCCAGGCAGTGGTGACACATGCCTTTAATCCCCTCACTCAGGGAGGCAGAGGCAGGCAACTCTCCAGTCTGGTCTACAAGAGCGAGTTCTAGGACAGGCTTCAAAGCTACACAGAGAAACCCTGTCTCAAAAAACATAAAATAAAAAACAAAACAAAACAAAAAATGAATAACACTAATCCATCTAGTCCATATTCAGGAGGCAATTTTGACAGCACGTCCATTTACTAAAACAACAATAACAGGTTCCTTGCTAGGGTCTTTGGCTTTACCTTCCAAGCAGTTTTTAACAAGTTTATAATAATGGATAAATTCCTCCCTGAGGAGCAGGCCACAGATCCACGAAAGGCTTGGTTAGTCCCATAGCATTCTTGCCACTTTTGCACCAGTATAATTCTTGTCTGGCATGTTGGTATTGCAGCATTCAGTGGTACTGTGGAGTAAGACCATTGATGATTTTTGTTTCCTTAGTAGCCTGAAGGTACATGCAAGCTAGCCAGCAGGGAGCAATTTTCCAAGTCAGTTCCAAATTGATTTCTTTATGTCCTGTAATGAAAACATGTTGTATCTTCAGAAATAGCGTCTACCAGGGTTATGGTCGACAACAAATGGCAATAGTGTCTTAGTTACTTTTCTCTTGCTGTGATAAGGCACCATGACCAAGGCAACTTGTATTTTCTTTCCTGAGACGAGGTTTCTCTTTGTAGCTTTGGATTCTGTCCTGGAACTTGCTAGATAGGCCAAGCTGGCCTCGAACTCACAGAAATCTACCTGCCTCTGCCTCCTGAGTGATGAGGTTAAAGGCGTGCACCACCACCACCCAGCTCCAAGGCAGCGTATAAAAGCAAACATTTAATTTGTGGTTCATGGTTCCAGAAAGTCTTTAGAGTCCATTACCATCATGACAGCAGGCAGGTAGGCATGACTGTATTAGTAGCTGGGAGCTTACATCTCAATCCACAAGCATGAGGCAGGAGACAAGAGGTAGGGGGCTGGGGTTGGTGTAGGCTTTTGAAACCTCAAAGCCTACCTCAGTGACATATCTCCTCCAACAAAGCCACCCTTCCTAATTCTTTCTAAACAGTTCCACCAAGTGGGGACCAAGTATTCAAACATGAGCCTCTGGGAGCCATTCTCATTCAATAAGCGTCAATAGCCCATGTTATCGTAGGTGCCTATAGAGCTTCCCTGGCCAATAACTCATAAGGAGGTGTCCAACACTTGGCACTCAGATTTTCAATTACTAACTGTGTCTTCTGGGAGAAACATTGTCCAACCATGCAGGGTACATGTATTTAAACTCCTTTTACAGAAGGGAAACTACTTACCAGCCAGCACTTGACATCACTGAGCCACACCCTGGTTCTGAAAAAGAAAAAGAGTTAATAAGTTAGTTTCACTAAAAAAAATTAAGAGGTTTCCAGAAAGTTGTTTATATATGTTAAGAATTCTTAGTTGGGCACCTTGGCTCTCACATCTTTAATCCTAGTATTTAGAAGGCAGAGGTAGGAGGATCTCTGTGAGTTTGAAGCCAACCTGGTCTACATAGTGAGTTCCAGGATAGAAGGGCTACATATAGAGACCTTATAAAACAACAACAGAAAACCAAAAACAGAAAAAGAATTCTTTAATATTATTTGTTCTCAATTAGGGAAGTTCATTCATGGAGATAATAGAAGCCAAAAGCACCACAACAGAATATCATTGAGTATGAGGTTGAGTCAGTTAGGAGGCATCTGAGATTAGAGTAGGGTTTGTGTGCTTAAGCCCAAGGCTGAGAAGTCAACGGGAAGCCTAAAAGCCATAGCCAACTATATTGCGCAGAACAGGAAGTGTGGTGGCCAGCTCATAGTTGGAGAGAGAGGAACTCCCCATCACTGGAGTAGTGATGTTTGTCTCTTAGGATGGTTGAGTTTGTAGAGTAGGTAAGGTAGGCAAGAATCTGATTAATCTGTTTCTCCAAAAAGTAAGTAGGTTAAAAATAAGATACTAATATAAAAGGTTTTTTATAATTTATTTTTATAAATATGTTGTTGTTTAATATTAAACTTCTATTAAGTTTGATAATATACACAGTACCCCTTTATCTATAAAATGTAATCATATTATAAGTTTAAGATAGAGCTTTTCATTTTCCATAGAAGTGAATTATAATTAAGATTTTTCTTTATTTTCTGCCTTTATGTGTGTGTGTGTGTGTGGTATGTGCAAATCCATGCTTACTCATGCACACAAAAAGGTCAGAGGGAGTTGATGAGTGTTCTTTTCTATCACTGTTCATTGTATTTCTTTGGGACAGGGTCTCTCAATGAACTTGGAGATAGACTGGAAATGATTAAACCCAACAATCCTCCTGTAGGCTGGCAATTCCTAGCACTGGGGTTACAGGTGTGCATATAGCCACACTCAGATTTTTTTTTATGTGGCTACTGAGATCTAAATTCTCCATCTTCATGCAAACATTCTTATCCATTGAATTATATTTCTAGTCCCTAGTTAAGATTTTCTTATGGCAAAAATTATAAGTCAATAAAGTTCTATTTAGTAAAATTAGTGGGATTGATACTTACCATCAGCTATTTTGAGAGCTCACAATATACTGGGTGCTAATCTAAGGGCATCTATATATCAGCTTTCTGAGGTAGCCCTGGAACTGCTCTCATTGTACACATTGGGATATAGAATCAAAGAATCAAAGAGATTAAGAAGCTTAAGACCAAGGTCAGTAAAGCAAGACAGTTGCATAACTAGGCTTCAGACCCAGAGAGTAAAGTTCCAGAACCACAGACTGTGCACTATCAAGTGTTTCTGAAAATTATTGCATTGAAAATGATTTGGGGAACATATCTGCTTCAGTGGCAGCCACAATGCAGGAGGATAGATGTAATTTTTAGGTTCTTAAATGTTTGCCTTTCTCATGATAATATTTACTCATACCTATTGATGATAAAAATACATTAGTTAGCTATAAGATCTCAACATACTTTTTTGGACTTAAAATATTTTGTCTTTGTTTTGTTTCTTAATTGATTTGCTTTTTAAAAGTAGTTTTATATCTATAGAAAAACTGAGAAGAAGATCTGGAGGCTTCTGGGATCCATCTTTTCCATTCCACACCTGTTGGGGACCCTTCTTCAACTACCTCGGTTATGGATGACCCTGGGTAGTGCTGCAAAAATCAGGACACAGAGGATGCAGAGTAGGAGATCCAACTGCATACTTTATTGCCAAGCCAGTGCTCTTTTATAATACTCAAATCATGATTCTAACTAGGTTCCCATAATACTTGGAAATAGTTACATAAACTAATAACTTTGTTGCAAATAATTTTAAGAGCTTCATGCCCTAGTTAATCTAAACAAAAAGCCTGGTGTTTTGGGAATAACTTTTGCTGTTATATAACATGTAAAAACACCTCATCAGAAGACAAACCACAACCTAATCAGAGCCTTTGAACTACAGTGCACATCTGTGTTCTCAACGACTGACTACTGGCAAGGCATTCTACTGATGGGAGAGGTTTGCCTCCTCCTGACTTTGTTTGCCAAGCCTGTCAGTGAGAATGCTACCTCAAGTCACCCCTGCACAGAGTTTCTGTACCATTCAAAGCTAGCCCTCCACATACGCCCAGCAAGTTCTGCATAATTAGCAATGTCAGTTAGTGTAGTACATTTATGATAACTTGTCAGTGTGTCTTACCACATTATTTACTATTATTATAGTTCGCTTATGTTGTATAGTTTATGAGTTTTGACAACTGTTTAATCTCACAAATATAGTTATCGCAGTATCATAAAGAATGGTTTCAGTGCTCTAAGACTCCCTGCACTCCATCTGTTCACCTTGTATTCATCTCCCAAACCTTGGGCAATAACTGATCTTTTTTACTGTGTGTGATTTTGCCTCTTAAAGAATGTTGTATAGCTGAATTGCATCTCTTTTCTTCATGCCTTTTCATGGTTGATAGTTCATTTATTTTAATTGCTAACTAATATTTTGTTGTATGCACATGTCACTGTTTGCGTCTTTCTGTTTTCTTACTACTTCCAGTTTGGGACATTTGTGAATACAACTGCTATGTCCACTTGTGCAGCGTTCTGTACAAACAAGTTTTCAATTATTTACATCTCAGTTCAGTCAGTATTGAACTGTATGCTGAGACAGTGTTTAGCTTTGGAAGAAGTGTTTTGCAGGTGTTTTACACCAGCCATTATTTGCACTCCTGTTGAACTACATGTCACAGCATTTGCTTTCCTTTGGGGTTTTAAGCATTCAAATAGGTATATGGTTGGATCTCATTGTTGTTTCAATACATAATCCTCTAATATTATTTGATATTTGGCTTCTTTGTGTCTCTCTCTCATCAGTGTAACATCTTTGGTGTTGTCTCTGTTGGTACCCGACTCTTACTTTTTGAGATGATGTCTTCCTAAATAGTGAAGTATCACCTTAACTTTATATGATACCAAAGCTGACCTTGGGCTTGCCATCTATCCTCCTGCATCAGCCTTCCTAGTGCTGGGGTTACAGGAGTGTGCCAACATGCATAAGTTTTCCTGCCTGTTTCTCTTATTTATTTATTTAATGACTGAGTTCTAAGAGATCCGCGTATGCTTTGAATATGTATCTTTTTTCTCTTTCTTATTTATTCTGTGTCTTTTATATCATATATCTCGATTGCATCCATTTCCCCATCCCTTCACAACTGCCTTCCGCTCCTGCACCCCCTCCAAAAAAAAAACTAAGAGAAAGGGAAAAGAGAAAAAATTAAAAATCTCATCATGGAAACTGAAGTATGACACAATGAGTCACATATATACCCCTTTGTCTGTGTATCTTTACTTACAAGTGTTCATTGCAAAGAATCATTGGTTTGCGGTCTCTGGTTTCTACTACACTGTTGATGTTGGACCCTCACTGGGCCTCTTCTTGGGTATTCTTTGTAGCAAGAATTCTAATTGGTCTTAATGATAAAAACCGAGAGTCAGCTCAGCTATAGGGGTAAATGCTGAAAGATCAGAGAAGCAGAATAACTGGCCACTAGCTCTTACCTCTACTGAATCCTTAGACCAGATGGGTGATTTTATCTCTGGGAATCCTCAGACTGAATGCTCAGATTGAATATACCGAGATCCTGTCTCCACCCACCTTATATTCCTGTCTCCACCTCCCTAGTGCTGGAATTAAAGGTGTGAGCCTCCACTGCCCAGCTATTTCTCTTTTAGACTGATTCAGCCCAAGATGGCCTTGAACTTCTGATCTTTCTGTTTTGCCCTCTCAAATGCTGGGATTAAAGATGTATACCACCACAGCCTGGCTTCTATGATTAGCTAGTGGCTAGCTCCACCCTCTGCTCTCCAGGTAAGCTTTATTTGTCAAAAACAAACAAATTATCACCATATCCTGTTGTTGCCCTGTGTTGTGGAGATCCTGAAGCTTTGGGACTGCGGGTCAGGTTCCTTTATGTGCTTCCCCAGTTCAAAGATGGGGTGGGTGTTGGGGCGGGTCAAGTCATAATTCTGATTCCGGACCTGTGCAGATTGGTCTGTCCACCAGTTCTCCCCTATCCTCACACCAGGCTGAGCTCTCCAGCATTGTCCCAGCGAATTCACCTCTTGTGGCAATGAGTGAGGTGTGGGGCCAGTTCTTCTGCTTTCCTACACCCGTACTATCAGGGCCAGCGCCATTGTGCTATTCCTGCCCTGTGCAGGAGCCCCTCTCCCAGGTGCTGCAACTGCTGAGTCAGGGATCTCCTGGTTAGCTCCTACACCCGTCTTAGGCTTTGATGGGCATGGGGGTGGAGCATCTCTGCCATGTGTCAGATGAGTGATGGGGACAGCTCTCCTTTGTTTACAACCTAGGAGCTGGGTCACCTTTAACTCCAACTACTTACTAGCTCTGCTGTGCTGTCTAGGCAAGGAGCAGAACCCGCTTTTCTAAGTGTTGCATCTGGTAATGGGGAGGGTCAGCCCTCTCTCTCTCTCTCTCTCTCTGTCTCTGTCTCTCTCTCTCTCTCTCTGTCTCTCTCTCTCTGTCTCTGTCTCTCTCTCTCTCTCTCCCTCTCTCTCTCTCTCCTCTCTCTCCCCTGTAAGGATTAAAGGATGAGGAGTAAGGGAAACATCTCTATTCACCCCACACCCCTGCATGACAGATGACTATTGGGGACAACTCTCCCACACTTACAACTTTGGAGTTGGCTCACCCACACCTTCGGTGGGCTCTGTTATGTTACCTGGTGAGGTGCAGGACCTGCTCTCCCAAGTGTTTTGAATATGTATCTTTTATCAGACATATATTTTGCAAGTATTTCCTCTCAGTTAATGGCTTAAATTTTTATTCTTCTAGCAATATTATTCATAGAGTATAACTTGTTGATAAATTGTTTTCTTCCTTAGGGCATGTTTTGTATGCTGTGTTAGCTATTCTTGATTGTCAACTTGACACACCTGGGAGGAGGGAACCACAGTTGTGGAATTGCTTCTGTTATACTGGTTTATGGACATGTCTGTGGGGCATCTTCTTGGTTGCTAATTGATGGAGGAGGGCCCAGCACACTGTGGGTAGTGCCCCTGCCTCAGGCATGTGGTCCTCATTTCTATAAGGAAGCCAGATAAGCAGAAGCAGGAGGAAAGCCAGTAAGCAGCAGGTGCTGCCTTCAACACCTGCCCTGACTTCCCTTTATGATGGATTGTGACCTGTAACCTGAAATAAACCCTTTCTTCACCAACTTGCTTTTGATCATTGTCTTTATAATGGTAACAGAGAAATTGTTGCTATTGTTATCATCTTTTGAGGCATGGTCTTGTGTAACCCAGGGTGGCCTTGAACTCCTAATTCTTCTGCCTCTATCTCCAAACTTGAGAATTATTGGCATATTTCACCATACTGACTTGGTTTGTGTGCTTTAAAAATTGTATCTAAAAACTTTGTCACCAAACAGAAATATGCCTAGATTTCCTCTACTATCTTGTAGAATTTTGTTTTGTTTTGTTTTGTTTTATGTTGTACGTTTTCATCTGTGGCTTATTTGAAGTTATTCTTTGTGAAAGGTTTAAGGTCTATGCTTAGATGTATTTATTCTTGGCTATGGCTCTCCAGTGTTTGATTACATGGCTGAAGAGTTCTTTAGTCATTGTGTTGTTTTCTCCTTTGCTCCTTATCAGCAGTATGGATATATTCTGTCGCATCGGCCCATTCTTCAATTCTCTCACTAACACCGCTCTTGATTACCATAGCTTTATGCAAATCTTTGAGTTAGAGGTTAATAGGATAATCCACTTTTTTGGTAGTGTAAGGGTTAAATCCAGGGTAACATCTGCTAGAGAATTGCTTTACCACTGAGCTTTATACCCATCCCTTTAATAAATTTTAAAAATTAATAAGGATTAAAAATTTTAAGTTTTAAAGGTCATTAAGTTATTGCTGGTTCACATAGTATAGTATTAAAGACACATTTTTCTTTAATACTTTCTTTGTATTGCATATCAAATATTAATTTTTATCTTACTTTACTAAATAGTAGGACATTACTATCATTACTCTCCCTGCTTTAATTTGCATATTTTTTTCTTGGAAAAAAAACCTGTGAATCTATTTCACTTATAAAACATTTTAAAACACTAGTCAGTCAGGAGTGTTTTGTTTTTTTCGTAATAGTGCATAGGAAAGAGTTGCTGTCTCATTTCCCTTGAGTGTAATACAGATGGAAGTTGGGAAGTAAATCTTTCTTGTTGTAGGAAGTTGCCAAAATATAATCTATTAATGGTGTTTAATATCTATAGATTCATTTCAGGATAATCATAATAGGACATGTAGGTGGATAAATAGCTATTAGTTACACACACACATACATATCTACATATATATGTTTAGATAGTGATAGTTTTTACTCACAGATAATGTTAAATGAGCATATTTCGCCTTCCCTCTGGGAATGCAAGTTTCCATTTTCTAACAGATTTTCAGAGACATACCAACAATTTGTTAGAGAAATTATATGTGTACTAGTCTCCTTAAGCCTGATCCCATCAGTTCTCCCTTTCTGAAACTCTAGTAGTCTGGGAGACATTATACCATTTTCATTAAGGTTCTGACGGGTTGAAGGGGCATTTTGAAGCATGTTAACTTGTTTGAAATATCAATATAAACTCTTAATGAGTGGTCAGGTTGGAATTTACCAAGAAAAATTACAGTTTCCTCTAACTTTGGAATATGCTTGCACTAGTTAGTAACAACTTGCCAATGTCTGGGGGCAGGGAATCACGCCCTATGATGGTGTCTGTGTGGAACTGTGGAAAATTAGAAAAAGAAGTAGGTTTGAAGGTATCTTATTCCCCATATTCTTGCTGACAACTGAATGTTTATGGTTAATAATATAGATGTTTTACTAAGTGCGTGGACTTTTAAATAATGTATGGAAGAAATGTTTGGGTTTTTTGTTTGTTTGTTTTTTATTTGTTTTTGTTGTTTTATTTTTTACTTTTTAGACAAGGTTTCTCTGTAACTTTGAAGCCTGTCCAGGAACTCGCTCTGTAGACCAGGCTGGCCTTGAACTCACAGAGATCCTCCTGTCTCTGCCTTCCGAGTGCTGGGACTAAAGGAGTGTGCCACCTCTGCCTGGTGAAATGTTTATTTTTACAGAAAACTTTGACACAAAGAAGAATGAATTAACAAGACAGGGATTTATGGACTTGCATCTGATGGAAGCCAATGATCGAGAAGGAGACCCTCTTGACCTGTGGGTGACTCTACATTCGATGGGATACAATAAGGCTCTGGAGCTGACAGAGGTAAAACACTCAGACATTGACAATGACTTTGTTTTTCATGGCATTTGTCCTTAAAACTCCTGACACATGACTTTTAAATCCAGGCACTCAAATCCTTGAATTTCAGTAATGTAAGTGGAATCCTGAGCACAGTATGCTTCTAGTATTTTTACTGAAGCTTGTGTTCTTTACTGAAAAAAAATAGTTACTATCAACTGTGATTAATCAGAGACAAAATTGTTTGAACTTGGGCTGGAAAGATGGCTCAGCAGTTAAGAACATTGCCTGCTCTTCCAAAGGTACTGAGTTCAATTCCCGGCAACCATATGGTGGCTCACAACCATCTGCAATGAGGTCTTGTGCCCTCTTCTGGCCTGCAGGCATACACAGAAACAGAATATTTTATATATAATAAATAAAAATATATATATAAAATAATTTTTTAAAAAGTTTGAGCTTTTCAATGTGCAGAGGGAAATTAGTAGCTAAAATGTGTATATTTTTGTTAGAACAAGGTCCAAGAATGGAGTTGTGTGAGAAGAATTCTGAGTGCTTGTGAGAAAACTCTAAGAAAATAAGACAAGAGTCTTGTTACTTTAGTTTCTTCAAAAACAGGGAATTGTTCTTGAACTGTGTTGTCGTGCCCCTCCCAGCAGTTAGAAGTGAGCTTACTTCAGATTATTCATTATAGTTGGCTATCATTTGTTTATATACCTCTATGGAAAAACATGATTTGGCCATGTTTGGCTTGTTCACATCTTACTCAAGTGATTTTTCTTAATCTTCAGAGTATAAATTGCCTGATGCTCTGAATAAAGTTGACTATTGCATGAGACCTTAGTCAACCTCTTTCTTAGGCCCCACTGTCTCAGGTTCATGACACCAACTTATGTTAAATTAGAGATTTCACAGTAGGTACAAAGTTAAATAATATTCTAAGTCCAGAGGAGGAGGAAAACTAGGCTTTTTAAAATTCTGTGTCTTGTTTAAAATACAGGATTTAAGGGTTTCAGCTCAAGCCACATATTAGGCAGTAAGATATTTGGTTATAGTTTTAAAGTTTTAGTCATTTTCTCATACATCACTGTAACACAAGGTTTCTGTCCTGCCTGGTCCTGCAGCTGTTCAGTCCCAAAGAAACACACAGAGGCTTATATTAATTATAAAGAGTTTGGCCTATTGACTCAGGCTTATTATTAACTAGCTCTTACAATTTAAATTAACCCATAATTCTTGTCTATGTTTAGCCATGTGATTTGGTACCTTTTATCAGTGCAGCATTTTCATCTTGCTTCCTCTGTGTCTGGGCCGCAACTGCAGACCGAGCCTTTCCTCTTCCCAGAATTCTCCTAGTCTGGTTGCCCGGCCTATACTTCCTGCCTGGCTACTGGCCAATCAGCACTTTATTAAACCAATATGAGTGACAAATATTGATAGAGTACTAGAGCATTGCCCCACAGAACTACATTATGTAGTCAAGAACTTTTCTTTCGTTTCCCAGCCACCCAGACCTGAATAATCACACAAAAACTATATTAATTGCAACAATGTTTGGTCAGCAGCTCAGGCATATTTCTAACTAACTCTTATATCTTAACTCATTTCTGTTCATCTGTGTATCACCATGAGGCTGTGGCTTATCAGCCACATCTTTCTCCTAAAGCAGCTACATGGTGTGTGCCTGACTCTGCCTTCTTTCTCCATATATATATATATATATATATATATATATATATATATATATACATATATATATATGCCATCTTTTTCCATATATCAGATTTCTGCCTGGCTTTACTTTGCTAAACCATTGGTCAAAAGAGCTTTATTTATCAACCAATAAAAGCAACACATATACAGAAGGGCATCCCACATCACATCAGTCAACTTCTTTTTAGGTTATTTTATTCTATGTGTATAAGTGTTTTGATTGCATGTATATTGGGGTACTACATGCATACCTTGTGTCCACACAGAGGTCAGAAGAAGGTGTCAGATCTCTTGGCACTAAAGTTACAAGTGGCTGCTGGGAAATGAATCCAGGTCCTCTGGAAGAGCAACTAGTGTTCTTAACTGCTGAGCCACCTTCCCAGCCCCACTTCAGTCAGCTTATAAAGGCAGTGCTGCTAATGACAGATTTAAAATTAAGTTCTTTAAAACTTTGACTAAATTTATAGTTGTGGTATCATTCAGTATTCCTCAGAAGTGTGCTTTTAGAGTTTTCTAATTTTTTGCCATTTTTAGTAATTGAATGTGAAGAGTTAATTTTTAAATACCCCTCTTTAATCTAATTTTTAAAATTTTTTTTTTACATTTTACCCATGATTGTGAAAGTTACTTTTAGTCTATAAACAGTACTGGTTCTGCTGCACATTTCTCTTAGTAGAAATTATTTAAAAGCAATAAAGCAACTTGAAAACATTTAAAACTATTTGTTAATATTACTTGTCTTTGAAACCAGAGGTAAGAATTATGAGGTAAATTTTTATTTGACTTAAATTTTATTAATACTATTGAATAGATAATATATTTCCATTATTTGAAATTTCAGCAGAAAGGGGACTGAGGATAGCATTCAGTTGATAAGAGTGCCTTCCTAGAATATACAAAGTCTGTAGTACAAGTCTCAACACCACATAAACTGGGCATGGTAATGTATGTCAGTTCAAAGTCATCTTCAACCACACAGCAAGTTTGAGCCTAACCTGAGCTACATGAGCAAACAAAACAAAAACAAAAATAATAAAATTAAATAGGAAAAATACATACAACAGAAAGTGCCAAAGGATGGTGGCCTAGTTTGCTTTCTATTGCTGGGACAAAAACCATGATCAAATAACTTGGGGAGGAAAGGGTTTATTTCAGTTTACAGCTCCTAGATCATGAAGGGAGTCAGGGCAGGCGCTGAAGCAGAGGCCATCGAGGAACACTGCTTACTGACTTGCTCCCCATGGCTTGCTCAGCCTGCTTCCTTGTAGAACCCAGAACCACTCACAATTTACTGGACCACCCCACATCAATCATTAATCAGGAAAATGCCCCACAGACTTGCTCACAGGCCAGTCTGATGGACACATTTATTCATTTGACTTTTCCTCTTCTGAGATAAACCTAGATCTTATATTAAGTTAATAAAAAAAACCTTACCAGCACAGATGTGATATATATTACTATATAACTATATATATTACTATAACTAAAATAAGAATGATAAATTGTGATGTGTTGCTCATAAGAGATCAATGCTGGACAGGTACAGTTGACCCACATGTATCATCATGCTAATTTGTATTTATTTTATGTTTGGGGCATGATGGCTAGGAGTTATCTAAATATTAAGCCATAAATAATTGACAGTCTTTGGAGAAACATGTGAGAAATTCTTAATTGTATTGGTTGGTTGGCACTCAGTAGTGTTCCTGCTTGTATGTTTCTCACTTTCAACCTTGAAAGATGATCAGGTGACATTGGTTGCTCTAACAGATTGAGTTGTGATAGGAATGCCTTGCTTTCTCTCTCTCCCTCTCTAAATGGTTGGGTTGAACACAGGAGCTCATGTGTGTTAGACAAATGCTCTACCACTTGAGCTAAATCCCCAGCTCATTTTCTTTTCAAGTGAATTGAGAAAGTTTAAGATCAGTAATGACACATGCCATTAACCATCTGATAACAATAGTTGTAGTGGTATATTATTTGTATTTCAATAAATAAATTCTTAGCTGAAGACCAGAGGCAAAGCTAAGACCACTAGAGGTCAGGCAATGGTGATACACACCTTTAATCCCAGGATTTGGGAGACAGAGTCAGATGGATCTCTGTGAGTTCAATACCACCCTGTGATACACACAATCAATGAAGAAATAAATCCAGATAGTGGTGGCTCACACCTTTAATCCCAGTATTAGGGAGTCATACGCCCTTAATCCCAGCACTAGAGGGAATATAACATGAGAGGAGAGAGAGGCTTAGTCTGTGTAGTCAGTTACCGCCCAGCCTTGGTAGAGGGAGGATTTCTCCAGTGGCTTGGCTTCTTTACTTTTCTGGTTTTTGGGTTGAACCCCAATATCTGTCTCTGGGTCTTTATTATTTGTGCTATAAATATTCAGTTTTTCCTAAAGTTTATAAGAACTTTAAAAATTGTTTTAAATTTCACTTACATTCATCTGAAGTTTTACCCAACTAATGGAGACACTTTAAAGAAGTTTTTATTTGTGGGGATTTGATTTCAGTTTATGTATTGATTATGATTTTATCTGAAAATACTATTAAATCATCTATTGGAAAAGTTACCACAGAAATAATTTTTAAAACTCTGGACGAGGTGTATTAAAGGCCTCCAAGACTTCATGGCATGGTTGTGTATGTCTGAAGTCTTAGCACCTAGGAAGCTGATGCAGGAGGCATTGAGTTTGAGGCCAGCCTGGACTGCATAGCAAACTGAAAACATCCTGAATTACATAGAAGACCTTGTCTCAAAAAACAAAAGATAAAAGGAAAAATAACAGCCACAATAACAACTTCTAAAAATCAAGACTTGTAAGAAGTGACTCAAAGACCCTCTGCGACCCTGTCTCCCACGTTTTCCAGGTGTGGCCAAGAAAACAAGTCCCAATGGTACTCTGACCTTTTAGTGTGTCTTTTAATTGATACAAATATTTTTACATGAAATGTTAATCTAGGTTCAATCAGAAATGTGAGCTTTGGTGCAGACTCTGCCTAGGTTTGTCAAAAGACAATACAAAGTTTGTTTAATTCACTTGTTTGGATTAAAGATTCTAAATTGGTTTGCTGTGCCTTCAGATCTTAGACTGTGTTAGTTACTATGTCAGCCAACATGAAAGAACATTTTTAAAAAGTTTTTATTTGTATTTGTGTGTGTCTGTGTGCAAGGATGTTCATGTACATGCAGGGCCCATAGAGGCCAGAAGGCATTAGATTCCTTAAATCTGCAGTTACAAGTGGTTGTGAGCTGCCCTACATGGTTGCTTGGAGTCAGACTCTCGTCTTCTGGAAGAACAAGTACTCTTAACCACAGAGCTGTTCCTCCAGGCCCAAGCAAGCTAGTTTTTGATTAATAATGGAGTGGTATAACTCCTAAAACTGGGATTACCATCTTCACAAGATTTTTGTTCAAAAGAGAGTTGGCTTTGTCTGTGGATTTAGTTACTTGTAATCTATTGTGGTCTCTCTATAGTAGTCTCATAAATTAAGTTGGACAGTCCAGAAATTAAATATAAGCTGTACATTCTAGCTTAGGTTCCATTCTGAGTAGCATGATGAAATCTCACAAGTTCCTGACAGGACTGTCCTTTTGTCTAGCTTCTCTCTAAGTGTCAGGCGTGGTGGCAAGCACTTCTACCCACTGAGCCATCTTGCTAGCCAAATGAATCTTAAATGATATGATAAATATTTATAGTAAGTTTATTTATTTAAAATTCTACCAGAAGGCTAAGCCAAAATTTTGTTTTCTTCCCCATCCAGGCATGCCCATTTGTCATCAATATCTATGCAGAAAGATGTAAGCCAAGAATTAAAGCGATCCATATGGAGGCATGTAGTGGGCAACTTGAGAAGGCCATTTGCAAGTCCGTCCTTGATAGAAGTGATGCTAAAGTCATGGATGGCTATGAAAATATAATTGTACATACTTGCAATTATGACACCTGGATAACATCTATCATTGAAAATAAGGTATCAATTATGAGTTAGTTTTCCTTATTTTGGTATGAAGTTTTCTAATAATATTATATTCTTTTTTACATTGCAGCCAAATACCCTACTATTCTATAATATTTATAATAGACTATTATTCATTTTAGGATTTATGAATCAAGCTTAGCATGGCACTTTTTATATTATTTATAATGACTCAAGATCATTGTTTTTATTTTAAAACAAAATTTAAAATTTGGAAATTAGTGAAGAGTCAGTATAATCTGCATACAAAATAGAGGTATAATTTTTGTTTATATAAAATATTTTCAAAATACTTGTTTAGTTTGTTATATAACAGGACCACCAGAAAATATAAAACATGTTCTCTACTGGAATTTTTTTTTTTTACTCTTTGAGGGCCTGCCACCCAGCTCCCAAATAAATACAGGAGACTTACTCTTACTTATGAATACCCGGCCTTAGCTTGGCTTGTTTCTAGTCAACTTTTCTAACTTAAATTATCCCATTTCTCTTTAACTACATTTTGCCTCTGGGCTTTTTACCTTTCTTTATTCTGTATGTATTTCTTTCCTTCTTATTCCCTGGCTGACTGTGTGGCTAAGTGACTGGCCCCTGGAATCCACCTCTCCTCCTTTTCTCACTCCTTCTTCTTTTTTCTCAAGCCTAGATTTCTCCTCCTATTTATTCTCTCTGCTTGGCAGCACCACCTATTTCTCTTTCCTGCCTAGCTATTGACTGCTCAACTCTCTATTAGACCAATCAAGTGTTTTAGGCAGGCAAAATATTACAACTTTATAGAGTTAAACAGATGCTACATAAAAGAATGCAACACATTGTTGCATCATTAAACAAATATCATGCAGCATAAATTAATGTAATATATCTTAAACTAATATTCCACAACACCCTGTTTTCAAGTGTATGAGTTACTTAGGAAGACAATTAATACTCTCAGAGAGTATCTCAGAGGCTAAGTAAACATCAAGTCCTGTATTCTGTTTGCGGGCACAGTAGTTTTAGTCTGCTTTCTCTCACAGTGGTTTAGACCATAGATCTTTGGAACAACGTGTGATGGGGGGAAAGGAGTGTAGAGTAGGATTTTAGCTTTATCTAGTGTTTAGATACACTGAGAGACAAACTTCAGAACAGGGCAAACAGTAGAAGAAACAAAGGGCAGGGGTGGTGTGAAGGATTATTAGAAAGGTCAAAAAGAATGATAGAGTGGATCCATAGTATATGTGTTATCTTGAACAGTCTTTCTAGGACCTAAAACAGTGCCTGCTGTGCAGTTAATATTAAATAAACACATGCTTATTGAGTTAGTGAATAAAAGAGGAACCCAATTAAATGGATGTTTCAGGCATATTAGTTGGAAGGTAAGATCTGAGTGAATGAATGATAGAAAGTAGAGATGAAAGAAAAAGAAGACATTATTGTTATAATAAACCAAGGATGAGCTAACTTGCTGTTACAGTCAACAGTGGTCTGGGAATGAAGATTAAAGGGAAAATCCAAAACTCAGTTGAAAGAAAAGCTTACGTCATCAGTTAGAAAGGAATGAATGAAGAAACCCAGAGCACTGAGCAGAAAGCAGCAGCTGGTTTGTATTAATTTGTAGTGGAGTAGATTCTATAAACAGATTTTTAGGTCTTATTCTGAGGTTTATATCTTTATAATTTTTCAAAACTAAAAACTTATAATTTTCTACAGTCAGATGACAAAGTGATTATTCACATCAACAATGAACTAAGTAAAAACTGTGTCAACAACAGAGGACTCAACGTCTTTGCAGTAGAAGTGGCTCCAAGATCTACAATGGTAAATGTTCTCTAAAACCTTTTGTCATCTCTGTTTGGAAAGAAATATTTGCTCTTAATGCTATGAATAAGCATGTGGCATGAAATGAAGTTGTAAGTTATTTAAGCATGACATTCATAGTACTAAATACAGGAGAGGTAGTGGGATTTTTATGTTGGTCTTGGATTATTTTCTCATATAATTCAGGCTGACCTCGAATTCACTGTGTAGCCAAGGCTGAGCTTTCAACTCTGGGTCTTCACTATCCCATTTCCCACATGCTGGGATGCAAACCACCATGTCTGGCAGGCGCAATGATGAGTAGTGTTCATTTAACTTTTCTGTTCTAGTTTCTTTTAAAAAATTGTTTTAAATTGTGTTCACTTGTGTGCACATGTACATGCATACATGCACATTCATGCCACAAAATGCATGTCAAAGTCAGAGGACACTAATAAGAGTTGATTATCTCCTTCCACCTTGTATGTTCCTGGATGCAGCTGGGGGTGAGGCACTTTTTTATCTGAACCATCTTAACAGCTCTATTCCGATTTAAGGGTAAAATTAAAACATTAGTTAGATCCTTCAAAAAATTAATATAAAGGTAAAAATTAAATAATATATGTGAAAGCACTTTGGAATATCATATGGAGAAATGCCAAATAATATGACTAATAATAGTTATTTTAATAACCCCAAATTAAGATACATCCAAGATTACCCGAGAGAAGAAACATCTCAAAGTTTTAGATAAGTAACTAAGCCAAGAGCCAGAACCAGCTCTATAATTCTGTTTTTAGCACTCTGGGTTTCTGATGAGGTCACAAATTGAAAGGCAGGAATGATCAGCAGACTCCCAGGGTCTGGTAAAGAAACAGAGAAAAGCTTACTAGTGTATTTTTTTTTTTACCACTCCTACCTTTCCCCTGTGTTTTCTGTGAAATTCCACAACTTTCTTGAATGATTTAAAGGTAAAGGTTAAAGACAGCTTATTCTTTAAGTTTCTCTGATGAAGACTTAAGAAATGGACTGCAGAGGGTAACGTATTTGCTGTGCATCCTCAGAACCCTTGTAAAAGCCAGGCATGAAGGTGCACAATGTGCAATACCAGTTCTAGGGAGAGAAATAGGCCAGATCACAGACCAGACTGTAGTGTGACATTTTACTCTTTTGGCTTTTTGGGGGGTCCACAACCCAGGTCGCAGATAAATCACATACAGAGCTTATTCTTAGTTATGAATGCCCGGCCTTAGCTTGGCTTGTTTCTTGCCAGCTTTTCTCAACTTAAATTCTTCCAACTTCCTTTTCCCTCTGGGCTTTTTATCTTTCTTCTGTAATCTTACTTTCCTTCTTATTCCATGGCAGGGTGGATGGCTGGGTAGCTGGTAGCTCCTATGTCCTCCTCTCCTTGTTCTCTCGTTGCTCTTCCTTTCCTCATCTTTCTTTCTATTTATACTCTGTCTGCTAGCCCTGCCTTTCCTTGTTCCTGCCTCGCTATTGGTCATTCAGCTCTTTATTAGCCCATCAGGTGTCTTACACAGGCAAAGAATCACAGCTTCACAGAGTTAAACAAATGCAGCATAAACAGAAGCAGCACACCTTAGAATAATTTCTCCCAACATTTTCCATTTTTTTCTTTCTAAATAAAAATGAATGGAAAATTGTAACTTTGACATAGTAAGACTGTTTACAATAAGAACAATTATCAAGAAAAGATTATATTCACAATGTACTGAATTCCAATTCATTTGTATCTGATAAATTTAAAGAAATACTCCATAATCTATCCTATCTAAGAAAATCTAAAATTTTATAACTAAATTACTTTCTATCATATCTAAGGAAAACTGCAATTTTAACTATCTAGTCTACAATTTCATTAAAGACCCAAGAAGGATATAATATTATTTGAGTAAACAAAAGGTTCATTGAAAACAACTTCCAAAACTCTAGAAATGACAGAGATATCTGACTGCCTGGACAGTCACCCAAAGTTCTTCTGCATTGTTGGGGCAACCATCTTCAGCCTACAGACCTAGAGTATCTGGCAGACTTCATTGAAGCAGAAAATTTGCAGACTGTCCCACCTATGTTAGCAGTTTGTCAGACACTTTCCTCTGTGTCCTGCAGAATGTCTGGTAGACTCTTCTGTGAAGTAGGAATTTTGAAGTACTGTCCTGCCTTGTTTTGACAAAATTCATTAGTCATTTTTCTCAGTGCCCTGCAGAATATCTGGCACACTCTGCTGTGAAGCAGGAATTTTGAGGGGCTGTCATGTCTTTTTCCTGTGTGGCCTGCATGTCCAATTTGCACAGCACATTATGAGCAGTCAAAGGCAAGAGTAGTTTCTTTGCCCAGTGACTAACCTTGCCAAAATGAAAACAAATAAAGAGTATCTCCAGTGTCCATTATCTCTGAAGTAATGAAGTAATGAAGCTTTTGGTGCTGCCAAGAGCAGATTTGTCTCATTGTCATAAAAATCTTTTAAATTAACAAAACAATCTAATTGCCATATTCTATAGGTCTTTGAAGTATTTGAAGAACATCTATCTAAACTATATCTATTTAACCTAGAAAACATACCTAACATATGTACAGATTTGATTGTTATATGGTTAACTACTCGCCTAATAAATGTTTCTTGTTGTCCTATATAGTTCATAATAATAGCTTTCAAACACTAGAACTTTACCTTATATTTTTTTAAATGAACTGCATAGGTACAATACCTTAAACAAGAGGAGAAACACATATGTAATATGTGATAACAAAAGCAACCTTAAATTTATATCAATCTACAAAAACCCTTTAGACAGAGTAGAAACATATACAGTGTGTAAATTTGTATCAAAAGTCCTTTAAACAAGAGTAAAACCATATATACAATGTAACAATTGACTTTGAATTTGTATTCATATACCAAAATCCATGCCAATGCAAAAAATTGAGATTAATAGTTGTCCTTTTATCCTATATTCCCCTAAATATAACAAACATCCATGACCCAGAAAATAACCAAAGACTACCCACACCCCTTTTCTTTTAGGAATGTGGACATTTTGTTCTTTAGACTGCTTTCTGCTGAGTGTGAGCAAAGTATTTTTAGGGTCCCAGAGAGAAAATTTGAGACAATGGCCAAGTCCTGAGAAGACCAGTTATAACCTTTGTTGATAGATATCATCTGTCAAATTTCAGGAGGTCTCTCCTGATTAAACCAGATCCAGATCAACCTGGAAAGAATTCACAGCCTCTTGTTTCCCATGGAAAAAAGGAAAACCTCTTCTCCAAAGCATTCTTGATTTCCATTTGACAAATACATTTTTTACCTTAAAAGTTTAGGCATTCTTAAAATATCTAGACTGATTGATTTCCACTGGCCCTCTTTCATTTCCAGGTCTCTTAGCTGCTGTCCTTTGCCTTTCAGAAATCAAAAAATTCAAAATCAACATAACATAGGATCCAGACTCTCTGTGTATTTCCCATCTTTTTTGTTTTGTTTTGTTTTGACAGAGAGTTTCTCTGTTACATTCCTAGTTATTCTGGAACTAGGTCTTGTAGATGAGGCTAGCCTCAAACTCACAAGAGATCTGCCAGCCTCTGCCTCCTGAGTGCTAGGATTAAAGGCATGTGCCATCACCATCCTGCCTTGTATTTCCCATCTTTATATGTGGCTATTTTCTTTTATGTTACTTATACTGTTTCTTTAAAGACTTTATTTTTTAAAACTCTTTCTTTCTTTCAATAACTGCCTATACCCATTTTCTTTCTTTGTTAAGCTACACACATTGTAAAACACACCGGAAGCTGTTTAGAGGCTTTTTCCATCTGGATCTTTTATCTTATATGTCTTTTAGCCTTTTTGACTGCACAAACAAACTTCAGACTGTTAAGCTACACCTGGCTCCCCCACATACTCTTTCTGCTAGCTGGTTCTGCCCACTCTCAGGTTGGGTTGTGAAAGCCAAGCCCAAAGCTTGCCCTCTGGTCAGAGCTTTGTGACTGAGAACTGTAATAAACCCTGCTGACTGTGGAATCTGGTACCTGTGTTGTCATAAGCGGTTTTTACTTGGCTTGCCACAGTTTCTGATTTCTATTTAGTGCTGCCAATTGAACATCACCGCCTCTTAAAGGAGTCATGTCCTTTTTTTCTAGCTTTCTCAGACTCTAGATGGACATCTGAGCCCCATGTTGGCCACCAAAATGTACTGTGATGTTTTTCTCTTTTGGCTCCCAAATAAATCACACACAAAGGCTTATTCTTAGTTATGAATGCCAGGCCTTAGCTTGGCTTGTTTCTTGCCAGTTTGTCTTAACTTAAATTATCCCAACTACCTTTTCCCTCTGGGTTTTTTTCTTTTCTTTTTTCTGTATAACTTACTTTCTTTCGTATTCCATGGCTGGCTGGGTGACTAGATAGCTGGCCCTTATGTCCTCCTCTTCTTATTCTCTCATTGCTCTTCATTTTCTCATCTCTCCTTCTATTTATACTCTGTCTGCCAGCCCCACCTATTGTTGCTCCTGCCTCATTATTGGCCATTCAGCTCTTTATGAAGACCATCAGGTGTTTTAGACAGGCAAAGAATAACAGCTTCACAGAGTTAAACAAATGCAGCATAAACAAAGTAACATGCCTTAAAATAATTTTCCCCAATACCACACACTCTTGATTCTCAACCTGTGGGTCATGACCTCTTTGGAGGTGCCAAACAACCCTTTCACAAGGGGCACATATCAAATATCCTGTATATCAGACATTTACATTACAGTTATGAAGTTATAATTTTATGGTTGAGGGTCACCACAACATGAGGGACTGTGAAAGAATCATAGCATTAGGAAGGATGAGAAACCCTGGCTAGCTTGATCAGCAGGGGCCAGGCTCCTATAAGAGATCTTGTTTCAGAACCTAAGATAGATAGAGTTGGAGGAATAACAATTGAGCTTGACCTCTGGCCTCTACATGTGTACATGCACACATGTGTACCCACATGAACATGTGTACATATGCACATACAACTGCGCATGAACCCACAATTATAAACAATGTTCTAGACTTGGTGGAGAAAGTCTACTTACCTCCCACTGCCCTTTTTCACACAGTAAAACTACTCTAATAAGTAGGATTGAGTCCGGATTCTCCTGTTAGTCCTCAGATCATAAACCGCCAGTCCATGCTAGGGAAAAAATAACAATTTTATCTGCATATGTATTCTTTCTTCCTTTTTCCCTTTTGATATTTAGAGACTGGGTCTCATTGTGTAACCCAGGGTAGCCTCAAACTTGGAATCGTCAAGCCTTAGCCTTCTGAGGTTATACCAATAGGTAGTGTACTGTCATCTTTTTTTTAAAAAAAAACTGTAGTAATCACCTTTTTATGAATTATATACTTCATGTTGCCAAGGCTAGTCCAGATCTTGTATGCTTAAATAATCTTCCTGCTTAAGCCTTCCAAGTACATTGCATTCATGCCTGTTCGTGACACATGGTACATGCCACTGCCTCTGGTTTCACAGTGTTTTCTTTCTTCTTTTTTGAGAGAATCTCACTGTGGAGCCCTCGCTGACCTTGAATTTGCTGTATAGACCAGATTGCCCTTGAGCTCACAGAGATCTGCCTGTCTCTCTTTGCCTCTTGAATGCTTGGATTAAAGTCATGCTCCATCATACCTAGCTTTACAGCTACTTTTTAAAAATCATATTAAGCCTAGAAATGTCCTATTTAAAATTGGCAAATAACAATAATTTATCAAATAAAAATAAAAGCTTTCTATTTTTATATGCAGGTTTGTCAACATGTAATGCCCTTGAATGAACGACAAGAATGGATATATTATTGTGTGTATTCCCTTATATCTTAAATAATTCCACTTGGAACTATCAAACTAAGAAGTATTTTAGATCAAATCTGTTATTTATTAACTAAATGCTGTTCCATGACACTGGTTTAGTTAATAATCTGTTTCATTTCTATGCATTTATATTTTATGTCCATGTTATATATTTTATTATTAAAATTCAAATAGTGTTTTAAAAATGTGTGGCTGTCTTGTTAATTTAATGGGAAATATAAATACTTTTTTGTTTTTTAATAAAGGAAAATAAAATTATAGATAGGATTTTTAAAAGTAATATTCAGTGACTTCCAGACTATACACTTCTGGTTTGTTTTACATGTAAAAATGCTAAAAGACAATGTAAATACAAAAATAGCCGCTTAAGGGTCTAACTATTAAAAGAGCTAAAGTGGAGCGGAAGAAAACTATTTCTGCAGTAAGAAGCCAAAACCTGTTGGCAATTGTAGAATATTTGGTGCCAACAACAAATTTCTCACTAGTGTGTCAGTTGCTTTCTTTGCACAGAGGGTACTTGGAAACAGTTGGCTAACCCTGTGTAGCAGTTAAGGAGATAGTATGTGGCCTAAAATATGACATCGAGCAATTAAATACTATTTGTCGGTACCAGTAGCAGAGTACTTGGCCAATGTCAGCTTTGGGGTTATGAATACCATCTGGCAAAAGCTATTTTTTGCCTACACTATACATGTACATAGTTTAAATGTGATTTGGAGTTTGGACCGTTGATTTAGATCTGTAAAATAGATTGTCATTACCTCACTGTTTGAACTCTTCAGACAGATGTCTCATTAAAGGTAGTGAAATGTAAAATTATTTTATTTATTGCCAAATGCTTTGTAAGTTCAACAACTGTGGCCGTATATCTCATTTCACCTAATACTGAGTTACAGAACATTTTATATGGTACTAAAAACATATAACAAAGTTTTTATATTTTCCCAAAGTAGTTTATGGGTTTTATAATCAGATGATGGGAACATGGAGACTCAAGAAAAAAATCTACGGAGCCTTGGAGCAGCACTAAGCAGCGTGGGCATGGCCTGGCTCCACAAACCCCCTCTCCTCTCTGCTGAAGCCTTGGCAGCTGGGCCAGGAGCTCTCTATACTAGCAGTCCCATATCAGTGGAAGGCAAATTATTGTAAGTTAAGCTTTCTTTTCCCTTCTCACTTGAGCATTCTCCAGTTCTGATATTTTAAACAATATGTTAGGCTTCAGATACTACCATAAGAACTTCTTAAATTACTGTATTTAATCACAGAAATGATATTTTTATTGGATATTGATGTAGACAGTTTTTTTTAAGCTAATGCTCTCTTAGTTCTATCTTTGTATAGGTTAAATATGCAGCAGAAACATAATCATATCTTGGGTATAAACCAGGAAAATAGAACTGTATTTCTGATTTTGTCCACTAGGGGGCAAGTGAGTATTGGGGGAATTTTCAGCACTGTAAAACTCTTAGTGACTAACAAGGCTGCGTTGGTGAACTATGTTGGACTTTATGGCTGTCTGCAAACCCATGCATTTATGCTCTTTCTTGATGGAAAATGCTTTATAAAATGAATGCCAAGTCTCCTCTTAAAATGTACCGACTTTCATTTTTTTATGACTATAATTATTAGGGTGTATATACATGGCTACCACTAGCTTTATATCGTGTAAAATTCCTACCATTGCGATCCAGCCTGCTTAACTTCTAAGGGAAAGAAGGAACTGCATCATGACTTGAGGAAAATAAATGATGGAACTTATTTAAAGAAAATAGATAAGATTCATGTGGCGAGAGAATCTGAGGACCAGGAAATAGCAGTAGTCCAGTCTACTGGAACAACTTTGACCTGCTTTGACGCATCTGTATTTGCTAACTATCACTATTCCATCTAAAGAACTCAAGAGCAGGTAGCCTTAATTCTTACAAGCTGCCTTTATTTGTAGCCAAAGTCACTGTGTACTTTAAAAATGGGTAATCTGGGTCAGGCTGCAGCTTAGTCAATGCTTGCTCCGTGTGCATGGGCCAGGCTTTGGTCTCCAGAACCAGAAGACAGGGAAGGGAGGATTATCTTCTGGAGACCCTTAGTGGAAGTTAGAAATGGGGAGTTGGCTTCAGAATGGATGGTGGAAATAGACATAAGCTATGTACCTTTTGTCTAGACGTGAATTCTATTGAGACTGAATTTCCCATTTCCATCTCATTTCCAGGAAAATTACATAGGTTTATCAAAGATAAATATAGAAGGATTTCTTAACCAAACTTTAAATTTTAACTTTCAGGTTTTCTTCATTTAGGTTAAATGGTTTGGTAGGCAAGTCTGTAGGGCATTTTCTTAATTAGTGATTGATTCAAGAGGGTCCAGATCACTTGGGAATGATGGTCCTTGGTGGGATAAGAAGGCTGAGCAAGCCAGGGATAGAAAGTCATTAAGTAAGCTGTTGTCTGAGGTTTCTGTCCTACCTGGTTCCCACAGTCGTTAAGTCCCAAAGAAATCACACAGGGGTCTACATTAGTTATAAACTGATTGGTCTATTATCTCAGGCTTCTTATTAACTCTTGTAACTTGCATTAGCTCATAATTTTTGTCTGTATTAGCCACATGTCTTGGTACCTTATTCAGCGAGGCAGTCACATCTTGTTTCCTCTGTGTCTGGGTCACAACCGCAGAATGTGTCCTTTTTCCCAGAATTCTCCTGTTCTCTTTGTCCTGCCTCTACTTCCTGCCTGGTCACCCCGCTTATACTTCCTGCCTGCCTACTGGCCAATCAGCATTTTATTAAAAAATAATACAAGTAGCAGGATAAAAGTCCCACAGCAGTAAAGCAGCATCCCTCCGTGATCCCTGTTCTAGTTCCTGTTTCCAGGTTCCTGCCTTGACTTCTTGCCTTCGCTTGCTCTCAGTGATGGACTGTTCTACCTGGAAATGTAACATGAAATAAACCCGTTCTTATCCAAGTTATTTTCCATCATGGTGTTTTAGCACAGTAGTAGAAACCCTAGCTGGGGCAGGACTCTCCTCTGAGATCGTGACATTCCCTCCTGCGCCTGATGAAATACATAGAGGGTGGAGGGTTAGTTAAGTAGAGTACTTCATCTATGTGGCTATGGTGAAGTTATCATTCAGGCTAAGACGAAACTTTTGGTAGTGAGGCTGTTTGAGGGGCTCACCTGTGGTCCCGTAAGTAGCCCCTTACCCAGGCTCTGCAAGTAAGCTCCAAAACGCATTGAGCTTCCTTTTACTTACATATTGGTCTGTCATAGGTGCCCTATCTGAGGTAAGTAGGGCCTTGTTTTTAAGTCTCCCCAAGAAAAGTTCTTGCAACACATATGAAAAGTCAGGAGGGCGAGCTTTAACTTTAACTGACCTTGAAGGGTTAGAGAATCTTTATAAAGGGCAGGTTATAGAAGTCTAAGGTTCTTCTTTCTCATTTCTCATTTGCCCCAGAGTTCTGTTATTGTATCTCTGACTATTGATATAATATGCAATAGGTCAATTAATCTTGTACTTATTGGGTATCTAATATGTTCAGAGCACACTGCTTTAGATACTGCTTATGCAGAGGTGAGCAAGTCAGACATTATTTCTGCCCTCTCTCATAGCCTATCAGAGAAGATAGATCGAGAACAAGTATTACAGGCGGTAGCTCTAACATACATTTTTAAATACATCATTTTTCATGAAATCCCAGTCCTTTTCTAAGCCTAGGAGAATGTATTCTGTATCTTGAGCTTCTATTTTAATATCTTTCCTTTCCTGTAGGGTTTTTATTTCAGATTTTTAAACATTACATTTTCTTTAGTTGGGAGAAAGGGAGAACCCATATGTTGAGAGTTATTTCCTTCCTATCCTTAGTAATTGAACTTGGGTCATCGGACTTGGAAGCAAGTACCTTTATATCTTGGCCTTATTTCAGATTTTTAAAACTTGTTATACCATAACTTTCATTCTTCTGAGTTGATTAAAGGACTAAAGTTTCATGAAAATGAAACTGATAGATAGAGAGGAAATTGATTGTTTAATGGTATTTTATTATATAGTTATACCACAATTTATTCACTCTTTTGTCAGCTGTTCTTTTCCAGTTTTTTAAACAATCTTTAATAGATGTGTTTGTTATAAGCATTCCTGTGAAGTTTTTTTTTTTTTGTAAATACAGGTTTTTATTTTCTCCTAGATACCTAGAGATGAGATTGCTAGGTACGTGGCTCCTTTTGTTTTGTTGCTCTAGTTAATATTTCAAGCACTATATTGAACAGATAGGAAGAGAGTCAATGTCTTTGTCTTGTTTAGTGGAAATGCTGAGTTTTTCTCTGTTGAGCATGATGCTTGCTGTGACCTCGTTGTGTAATGACTTTGTTATACTGAAGCATATTTCCTCCGTCTCTCGTCTCTCCAAGAGTACAGTGTGAAGGGATGTTAGGTTTTGTCAAAGGCCTTTTCTACATCTAGTGAGATTACTATGTGCTTTCTGTCCTTGAGACCACTCATGTCTTTACATATGTTGAACCATTTGGGGATGGAGCTGACTTGAATGTGGTGGGGAATAGCTTTTCAAAATGTTCTTGAATTTGGTTTCCCAGTATTTATTTTTTGAGATTTTCTGCGTCTATGCTCACAGGTAGATTATTATTATTTTCTTTTTGTGTGCCCTATCCAATATAGACCAATGTATCACTGAACTCCTATAAAGCATTTGAAAAAGGTTTTCCCTTTTCTATTTGATGAAGTAGTTTGAGACGCATCTATTTTAGTCCTTTAGTATGGTAAAATTCTGTGGGGGAGTCCATCAGGTCCTAGGCTTCTTTGTAATTGGGAGACATCTTATTGCCGTTTCAATCTTGTTGCTGTGATTAACTTGTTTTTAAAAAATAGTCTCTTTTTTGTTTAACTTTGGTAGGTGATATTGTTAAGAAATTCACCCGTGGTCTCATCAGTTGATGGCTCATCAGTTAGGAGTACTTGTTGCTCCTGCAGCAGACCTAGTTCCCAGCACCCACGTGGCCGCTGAGAACCTTCTGTAACACCAGATTGAGAGGTCCAACACTCTCTTCTGGCCCCCTCAGGCACCAGCACACACACAGTGCTCATACGTGTATGCAGGCTCATATACATCATACACATAAACATATTTTTTATAAAAAGAAAGAAATTCATATTTCTTTTAGGTTTTCTAATTTGTTAGACT